CAGAGATTCTGAAATAGTTGCTATATATCTGATGCTACATCATTTATTTTTTTGAAAATACTCAATTAAATTCTGATTAGAATCATCCCCCAAAATTTTTATCCTGGTTCTAGATTATCAGAGCAGAATAAAAAGTAAAGTGAAAGGTCCTTCAGCTTAGAAACTCCACAGGTATCAGTTGGATACATAGTCAGTCCTTCAGAAAGGAAAAACCTGTGAGTTTGTTGCTCTTAGTAAAACACCATGTGGCCATTCCATTCATTTACATATTTATTGTCTGTGGCTGCTTTCACACAACAGAATAGTTGTGACAGACTATAGGGCCTAGGAAGACTAAAATATTTAGTATCTGGCTCTTTACAATTCTGCCAACCTCTGCACTAGTTCATCCCACTTACTTTTCAGATGGGCAATCTTAGGCCTGGATGAAAAAGAAAGTGACTTTGTAGCACTTTGCAGTGTCCCCTTTATTACAAATACTCTTGTCTTTGCCTGTCCCCTCTACTGGATGGGACACAATCTTTTTATTTCCCACACTGATTTTCATTTCAGTGCTTAATAACAGAGGTTTGTTGAATTGCATTAACTTGCCCAGGGTAACAGGGATAATTAGCAGTGGAACCTGGGTTAAAACCCAGATACAGAAGAGCAAAGAAATACCAAGCACGCTTCCTAGAGAAAGGGAGGGACCCCGTTTATTAACGCTAGTGGACTCTGGGAATAATTTCCAAATCAGAGTAACACAGAGAGGCTTCACTTTTTATAACCTTCTCGGGTCTTTGTCTTGCAGATATAGTTCCGCCCCCTTTCGTGGGCTTGTGGCCCCCAGGTGTTGATGATCTTGTCCTGGGCCAGCCCCCCCAGGGTAGTGCATTGCTCACAGTTTGTATGGCCTGACACGCCTTGCAAGACCAGTTTCCTCCTCAATACAAACTCCTGAACCAGTGGAAAGGACAGTCAACTAGCCATGTAACTTTGGCTGAGATAATTATCTTATCTGAGCCTCTCAGTTTCTTCATCTGCAAAATGGATATAACAATCTATTCCTTGTGGGGTTTTTAGGAAAAGTTGTTGAGATAATGTATGTATGGAATAGGCCCTCCATAAGTATGGATTCCCTTCCCCGCTCCTTTCTCTCACAAAACTGCTGGGGTTCCCTGAGGAAATTGAACCAAATAGTTATGGAGCTTTAGCTAGGGATGAGACCCTGGGCTCAGCCCTTTGGTAGATACAAAGGTTGTTACCCATTTAATGGCAATGATGAGCCTGATGGTGTAGCTGCCCCCTCCACACTTCACCCCAGGCTGGCAACAGAAGAAGGGGGTGTCTTTCCTATTCCTGTTTATCTCCAAGAAGGAGCAGATCGCCCTAACTGGTTTGGCTCAGTGGATAGAGCCTCGGTCTGAGGACTGAAGGGTCCCAGGTTTGATTCTGGCCAAGGCATGTACCTTGGTTGCAGGCACATCCCCAGTAGGGGGGTGCAGGAGGCAACTGATCGATGTTTCTCTCTCATTAATGTTTCTAACTCTCTATCCTTCTCCCTTCCTCTCTGTAAAAAAATCAATAAAATACATTTTAAAGAAAGAAAACAATTTTTAAAAAAGGAGCAGATCCCACCACCCTCCGCTTCTCTTCCGACTACTAAACAGCTGACCTCCTCCCCTCCCCCCCCCCCCCCCCCCCAGCCATCCTCCTTGGCTCCCTATCACCCTGTCTGGCCTTGCCCCACTTCCCTCTGACTCTCACCTTTGGAGCACAGCTGATTAAATGAGCCCCATGTCCCTGGGTCCCTGCCTTCTTGAGGTGATGCTCAAAGAAGGGACCCAATAGTCAGGGAGAGGGGTGAACCAATAAGTCAGTAAAAGTGAGGAAGAGACCAAAGCATATTGTTTTTTATACTTAAAGTAAAATAATTTACAGGGATAAATGCATACGCCTGCATAAACCACCAAAATGAATTCCAGAACAAAGACTGGATTTTCAGAGAATTGCTTCATGAATTCAAAACAGAATGGCTTCTCCCTAGCTCTCAGTGAAATGCAGGATAACTGATCTCCCTCTAACCAGATCATAGGTCTTGGCCAGCCAAACACAGACATAATTGTAAGGTCTGGGGCTGGGAAAATAGGGTCTTTCCTGATCCCACCAGCTGAGTTGGACAAAACAACCCAGAACTGCTGAGCCACATCCTGCTAGACAATAGCTGCCATCCTGGGACCCACCAGAGCATCCTGTTGTGCTGATGGCCAATAAATAACCACCAGAGACTTCTCAAGATGGCCAGGGTGCAGCTGCACCAACTTCCCACTCATCAATCACCCGCCACAAGCTACCTCAGATAAACCTGATTGGTCCAACAGCAGCATAAAAAATCTCTGCCAGGCACAGGCGGGTGTGACTCCCCCGGCCTGCACCTCCAGACCATGGGACCTCACCCGAGAGCTTCCAATAAACGTGATATTTCGCTCTTACCCTGCTTGTCTTGGTCAATTTATTGGCTTTGGTCAGATTAAATCTCACATCTCAGATTAAACCTTACATTAAACCTAACAGTAATAATACAAGCAAAGGCAATTCCTTCTTTCTCTGGCTAGAAGAAACCTGGGGTGAAACTCCAAATCCAGACAGTTTTAAAAACCATTTCAAAACAGGTATAATTCTTGAGTTATTTGGACTAATTTTTAGCAGGCAGTAGTTAGTGCTGGGAAGTCTAAACTATAGGTTTTTAAGTAAATATAGATTTGCTTTCAAATATAGCCAGTAATTCAACCTGTTTTAAAAACATAATTCTATTCATTAAAAATCATAAACTGGATCTGTTTTGACAAATAGCTAAGAACAGAGTTGTAATAGCACCACTCTCACTGGTTGGCAAACAGCTGCGATGAAGCCCTTGAAAAGTCTCGGAAGGAGGTTACAAATTCTCTTTTGAAATCATGATTATGCTTCACGTCATTGGCAAGCTTTGCTTTGATGGTCTAGCTCTGACAAAATGACAAGTTCAGAATTTGCAGAGTTTAAATAAAAACAGAATTACTATGAAGGACTGGGAGGCAAGCCCAAGGCCTTTTGAAAACTGCTGGCCTGGTGTCTACCAGGCAGTAAATACTTTCCTCAGAGGAGAGTACCAGGCTCCATGGCCACCCCCGGCATAGCCTACCCTGACAGCTGCATTAGAGGCAGGCCCTGCTTCTTCATAGTGAGTGACGGGACACTCTGAGCCTCCCCTTCTTTTTTTAAGTCTCTGGCTTCATGAAGCAGTAGTCTTGTGGGAAATAGTGCTGAATGGGAGGTTAGGATACTGGATCCCAGCTCTGATACCTGCCAGCTGTATGACCTTGAGCAGAACATTTCTCCTTTTTGGGCAATCTTCAAATAAGGCAGTTGGAGCTCAGTTGATCAGATCAGACAAATAACCATGGTGCTGGGCCTGCCAGAACTGAATTCACTTGCACACAGGACATTATTAATGAATATTATAACTAAACAGGACCTTTTGGTGATTAGCTTGACTTTGTCATTTTCCCCCAAAGAAATGAAGGGACCTGTCCAAGGTCACATAATTAGTTAGAGGCAGAATCAGATTAGAACCCAGGTTTCCTAAATCTCAGTTTCGTGCTCCAGCCAGAACACCACATTATCTGAAAAATCCTAAAGAAAGTACATTTTATCTCCTTTGCATCATGTATCTCCCAGACATGTTGCTGCGTTTTGTCTCCATCCTGCCCACTCATCAAAACTGCTCTGGATTAAGTAGCTAAGTCCTTCCACTCTTTGCACGCAAAATTCTGCTCGCACCAGTGGCTTCACGGAGACCTGACGCAGGCAGGCTCTGAGCCAACCTTTGCCCAAACTCTAGCTTTAGGAGCAGGAGATAAATGGGGTCTGTGTTCCCTAGGGTGCCCTCACTTTGGAGTCTCACTGAATAAACATCTTTGAGATGAATTTTCAGAAATCACTCCCCCAATTCAATCTTCCAGGTTATTGAATCATGCAATGGATTTAGTAGGAAGGCTCCTCACGGGGACAGAGAACTTCTTGGAAAGGAACAGGAGAAAGCCCCAGGGTTAGCACTCCTGGTATCTGGTCTCCAGTCAGCACAGAGAGAGGGCTCGGCACCTAGCATGGCTTGTCAGTGGATGAATGGAGCTCTCATCTTCACTATTTTAAAAACAAAACAGCCGAAACCGGTTTGGCTCAGTGGATAGAGCATCGGCCTGCAGACTGAAAGGTCCCAGGTTCAATTCCGGTCAAGGGCATGTACCAGGCACATCCCCAGTAGGAGATGTGCAGGAGGCAGCAGATCAATGTTTCTCTCTCATTGATGTTTCTAACTCTCTATCTCTCTCCCTTCCTCTCTGTAAAAAATCAATAAAAATATATTTTAAAAAAATAAATAAATAAAATAAAATAAAAATAAAAACAAAACAAAACAAAAGCAAAAACAGCCCTCCCCCTTCTTTCTCGGACTCCATCCAAGACACCAGACCCTCCAAGTCTGGAATGTGAACAAATAAGATTAAATGAAAGTAAGGGTACTAGATAAACCCTAAACACCATGCACATGAAAGAGATTATCATTTTTCCCTGCCTGATATCTCCTTGGACATTTTCCAAAGCCCAGCTCAAATATTATTTCCAAAGACCCAGCCAGACCAACCTGGTTCAAATCCTGACTATACCCCCTATTTGCTGTGTGACATTGAACAAGTGGTTTGATTTCATTAGGCCTCAGTTCCTTCTCCTACCAATGGGGGATCATAGTAATAACCATTTTACAGGATGGTGGTGGTGGTGGGGGGGGACCCAAGGTCACTCTGGACAAAGACCCCAGAATAGTGCCTGGCAGAGAACAGGCCTCTAAAAGTTGAATGAAAAGCAAGGGAACCAGAGCACCCATCTCTTGGAGTCTGACCCAGCACTTTCCATTCTTTAGTCCCAGCCTTCCCTCACCCTTTTGCCCCAAAGTGGCTAGAAAAACCCGAGCTACCTGTTCTCACCTTGCTGAAGTCCCCCAGGGCCATGACCTTGGCCACTGGCCTCCTGCTGAGCTGCTCCTTCACCCAGAGCTCAAGCTTCTTGTTCCACTTCATGGTGAACACATAGGAGGCATAGGCCAGCAGCAGCAGCAGGCTCTCCCACCAGACAATGAGGCTGTCCAGGAAGAAGAGAATGAGCATCATCAGGTCAAGGATGTAGAAGGAGACGTCACGGAACAAGGGCCACCAAGTGAGGTGGAGGATCTCCCGGGAGAACAGGGCACAGGTGCCGATGACAAAGAGGATGTTGAACACAGCAGAGCCCACAATTGTGCCGATGCCCACGTTGCTGTGGGAGATGAAGACGCCGATGAGGGAGGTGAAGAGCTCGGGGGCAGAGCCTCCGGCAGCCATGAATGTGGCACCTGCCACATCCTCAGAGATCTGCAGCTTGTCTGTGATGACACCCAGGGCTGGGACAAAGTACTCATCACACACGATGGCCAAGGCCACAAACACGTACATCATGCCAAAGATGTGCAGGACTACCCAGCCCTGCCTCCGCTCCTCCACGCTGAACAGGTCTGGGGGGTACTCTGCCTTAGGGTGGTCTGGCCAGCTGGGGGGCAGCGCGGAGGGACTGGGACTGGGTGCCTCTGGGAGCGGGGCCGTTGTCAGGCTGGGGGAGGGGGTAGTGGGCATGGCTGGAGCTGGCTCCACACAGTGACGAACCTGGGTGGTCGGATTTGCCCTGATGCTGAGGGTTGCTGAGGTGCTTGGTGCTGTGGGAGGTTTCTTCGCCAGCCCCCAGAAGGTGGCTAAGGATAATCCAGTGGTTGGAGCACTGGTTCTGGACGAGGGATTCCTAACCCTGGTGCGAATTGTCACTTGCCCATCAGAGGTGGCTGCAGTGTGCTCTAAAACTATTCCCTGGAAAGTCGTCAGGTTGCTCTTTCCCACTAACCTCTGAGGATTGGTTGAGCTGTTATTGTCCACCCTTCTGGGGGTAGTCAGCGTGTTCTTATCCACTGCACTCCTAGAAGTCAAGGTGTTTGTTTCTATGTCATTTATCATGAAAGTTGGAGTCTTATCAGTTATTCTCTTAGTAGTTGGGGTGGTTTCCTCCACGACTCCCTTGGAGGGGCTGGTCTCCAATATTTTGTAGGTTGCCACAGTTTCAATGTCTTTCACTGTCGTTCTGGGAGTGATCCCATGGCTTCTTGTCATTGTCATGAATGTGGATGGGGCAGAGTTTACTATTCTACCATGTGGGGATTGGGTGTATTTTTTCACCTTTCCCCTGGCTCGAGTTGGGGGGTAGTGCTTCATTTCTCCCCTGGGCGTTGCTGGGGTATAATTCTTTATTGTAGATATGCTTGAAGTTGGGGTGTAATGATTCAGTACTCCACTTGGTCTTGTTGGGGTGTTTTCCTTCGTTCTGTCTGTGCCTGCTGCTGTTGGGCTGTAGTTATTCCTAGGTACTGTGGGAGAGATGTTGGTTATTCTTCTGGGTGTATTGAGAGTGTTCTCCATTGTTATGCCAGCTGTTGCTTCCTCCTTGCCCACTGTGCCCTGGGGTTCCAGTGTCTCACCCTCCATTTCAGAACTAGCCCTTGGAGGGTCACTGTTCACCATCATCATCTCATTGCTGGTAAGGTCCCGGTTGGCCAGCTTTACAGGGTATTGGGAAGAGACTGCTGCCCACAGTGAGGGGAGGCCCAGAGGGCTCCTCAGGTGCTGGTAGGTGGAACCAATCATCAACATTCCCAGTAGGAAGAGGAAGCGACTCCATTGAAGCCGTTTTGGCAGGAGTAACCGCCTTTCCTGCGTCCCCATCCTGATCAATTTCCCCATGATGGCCAGTTATGCCAGGTTACGGAAGGCCTTTCATTCTGTTCACTGAAAGATGGGGGTTGTTCTTGGATTCAGGTTGGTGATCAGGGAAGATTTCTCCATGAAGCCCAGCTAAGAGATATCCACAAACCTAGAGAGAGGGGGAAATTAAATAAAAGAGGTTATCTGTCCCTAAGAGGAATGATGGGGTCCTCATCTGGAAAGAGTATCATTTCATTCAGGGGCCATTGTGGTGGAAGACAGTTGTTTCTGTTAGAACAAAACTACCTCTGCCCCCTGCTCAAGGGGGCAATGCCTGCTTGGGGGAAAAAGAGCATCTAGAGGTCCTCGGTGCCGTGCAGGCATGCCAGCAGCCTGAGCTGGTTCTGAGCTGGGCCCACCCAAGGTCTGGCAGCCCTCCTAAGTGCAAGCCTGAATTGCTGGGAGCTCATAAGTAGTTGGTGCCCCAGGCCACAGATCTCACCTTATTAAAGGCAGAAGGGAAGTAAAAAGACATGGTTTTAAGCTCTGGACAAAAAGAGGCAGCAGTGGAAGACTGACAACTCTGCATGTTTTTTTTTTAGGTGTGTTTTTTTTTTTCAGACTTACTTAAAACAATTCCACCATATCATCAGGGGGATAAAGCTTAAAAGTTAATGTCATGTTACTTTCAACAATAAAGATTTAAAAAAGAAAGTAAAATAAAAAGTTAATGTCATGAAGGTTCTCAGACAGTGTAATGTGGCAGGAGGAATATGGAGAGTGGAGTCAAAGACCTGGATTCCCAGCTCTGCTGCTTGACATCTGTGTCACCCTGGACGAGCTGAGCCTCAGGGCCTCATCTGTGAAATGGGCATAATATATATGCATCGTTCATGCAAAGATTATCTCTGGAAGGACATCTGGAGAAGGGAAACTAAAGGCCAGGGGTCAGTATAACTTACTGTTCAGTTTAACCAGTTAACTTTTTATTATATAGATGGTATCTGTTAAATTTAAATTACTTAATTCAATGGAATAGAAATGACAATAGTAATAATAGTATCTAGCTATGTAAATAGTAATAACAATACCTACGCCATAGGAATGTTGGGAGAGTAAAATACATAAAGTCAGTGAAAAGCACTGTATAGAATCAAGTGCTCCATAGGGCTATTTTACATAAGGACACAGAAGGAAAGAACATGAAAGGCCCTCAGAGAATCCTCAATTCATCAAGGGCACTGAGGCCCAGTCCAAGTAAATATTTGTTAAATCTCCAATCAATGTCCTCAGATTATTACAAAATAGTACCTAGAAATGACCAGTTTTGCATATGAGGTAATCTATTGGAAGGGAGATGAGTAACCCATAGAACCTTAGGTGGTTAAAGGTAAAAGAAGTTACTAACACAGTTTAGTATAACTCCCCATTTGAGACATGAAGAAACTGAGATCCAGCCCTGACCTGGTTGCTCAGCTGATTAAGGTTGTGGGTCCCATCCCTGATCAGAGCACATAAAAGAATCAACCAGAGAATGCATAAATAAGTGGAACAACAAATCGATGTTTCTTTCTCTCAAATCAATAAATTAAAAAAAGGAAGAAAGAAAGAAACTGAGGTCCAGAGAGGTGTGACTTGCTCAGTGTCACACAGCTAGTGAGTAGCAGTGCAAAGGAGCCTTCTAGTGCCCCAGTCTTTCCAGCTGCCACACTAGAGATGCAAATGCAATTGTCTTAACAAGCACAAGAGGGACGAACAAAAGAATTACCAAATTAGTGATTCTCCTTCTTTGTTCTTGATTCCTAGCATTATCTTCCCGCCATCTCCCTGTCCACCCTGTCCCTTACCATAAATTCAACACTTTGAATCTCCTACAGAAGCTTCAGAGGGTCTCCCTCTTTCTGGTATGCCTGTGTTATATAACAGAGTTGAGCCGGCACCGTCCTACTTAATCACCTACCTTCAAACCTGGACATCTGGGTGTCTTCTCCGTTCTGGAAACTTGTCAAAATCCAGGATCTCAAAGAGTGGGTCTGAAGCTAGACAGCAAGGACTATCCCATTCTCCTGCCCCCAGCTCTCTTATGGAATCCTAGTTGAAGACAGGGTCGGGAGTGAAGGGCATCTCAGGGAAGAATATCCAATCCCTGCTAATACCCCTTCTAAGAAGCTTATCAGGAACTTGTACAAGTTCTGGGTCTTGGTGCCTTTGCCAGAGACTAAGAGGGTGCACCTTCCATCAGGGACCCAGATGGGCTTGCATGGGTCTCTACAGTGGAGGGGGAAGTGGGGGGAACTTCTCAAACTTGCTTCTAACTTCTGGGAATGAGAGATGGTCTGGAGTTTCTAAGCTTGTGGGAAGGAAAGATTCAGAATTCGCTCTGTAAGAACCAAGAGAAAGTGCCTGGGGCTTAAGAGATCAAAAGACCTCAGTTAGCAACATGCTCCATTTGCTACTGTGTGATTCTAAATGTAATCTAAATGTAAATGTGGAGATAATTGTTATGCCCAGAATTCAAGATCCCCAAGAAACCATGCCAGGGAGTCAGTCTGATGCAAAAGCAGGAGGTCCTTTATTGAGTTAGCTAACCCGACCCGGACCTCCAGTCGACGCAGCGACCGGGAGTGAGACCCATGTGAAAATCCGGGCTTTCATAGTGAGGGGAGGGGAGCTGGCTGTGGCCCTGCCGATTGGCCGGGCGCAAGTCGGGTCTTGTTACACAGGATGTGGTCATCTCTATGGCGCGCACATCCCTTGCTTGTCATTGGTTAGTTCAAAGAAATCCTGGGCGTGGCCAGCAGGGGCCTGGGCTCGGGAAGAAGGCACTTTTCTGAGCACATGGCCTCTGCCCCAACATGGAGGATCCAGGGTAAGATGGAGGGCGTAGCCCTCGCCCTTTCATTCCCCCCTTGTCTTGGAACTTCCGGCTCAATCATGAGACGGACTGCACTTCTATTTCACCGTCACTAGGGGCCCGTAGTGAGCACACAGAGCTATCAACTGAACTATTTTATACACTTAACAAATGGTCCGGTGGAAGGGAAAGAAACCATTTTAGCTTTAACAACTTCTATTGAAATAGAATTTTTCTTCTTAGAATTCCTCCATGGCTATTAAAACCTGAGCATTGCCAAATTTTGGAGGAATTACATAAGGAGAAAACCATATTGATCTCATGCTCTAGACCGTTTATCTAAACAGGCCTTTCCCAGCTTTACTAACCCTGACATGGGCATGATGACTCAGGCCTGCAAGCAGTACACAGGCTGCCTACTGTCAACTGTCTTTTAACAGAGACCCAAAACCTGATGAGCATCCTTTACTTTTGGGGGTCACCCCCCACAGTTCCCTTCCAGGACAGCCAACACACACTCAAGCCTGCAAGAGAATTAAAGGTCAATATAACATATCAATACAATAAAACATGATACTAGACATGTGATCCTATGAATTGTCCTTGTCATTTTGGAGCCGTGTCCATGAAGGCGCAGGCATTATCTAAATCTATTTAATGTTACCAGCATCACGCAGGTCGAGCACGCCGTAGCTTGAGCTTGAGCGGGTTGCGTGGATCTCGATCGATGCTCCATTTGGTGATGAAGTCTTTCCGGATCGTGGAGGGGTCCGCTGACCGGACGTGAGTGTGATGAACCCAGGTCGCGATGCCGTCTACCTTAAGAGCAGTGGGGGTTGTCAGCACCACGGTGAAGGGACCCTTCCAACGTGGCTCAAGGGTCTCTTGATGATGCCTTCTGACGTAGACCCAATCTCCTGGTCTGTGTTGATGAGGAGTTGGGGTTGGGCTGGTCTCATAGATGGCGCGGAGGCGCGGCCAGATGTCCTCGTGCACCCTTTGGAGCCCTCTGGGTAAGATGTCTTCCAGCAGCTTCTTGGCCATCGTCTGAGCTGTTTCGTGCTTGGTTGGGTATGCCTCTACCCAGCCAGAGAAGGTGTCTATGAACACTAAAAGATATTTATAACCATACTTCCCTGGTTTAATTTCAGTGAAATCGACCTCCCATTGTGCTCCTGGTTTGGTGCCTCTGAGCCTGGTCCCTCTTTCATTTGATCCGACCCTTGCATTTGTAAGTTGGCAGGTCTTGCAGGCAGACACAACCTGATCTATCTTGGTATTCTGCTGGTGAATTTTGATCCTGGCATGTTGGATTAAGTCCTTCATTTTCCGGGTTCCCAGGTGAGTGGATTGGTGCATATGTTTTAATATCGTGTCCCCAAGCCAGTCCGGCAGTATAAGTTCTCCTTCTGGTGTATGCCACCATCCCTTTATTTCCTGGGCTCTGGGGAGCTTTCTGATACGTTGCAACTCTTCCTGGGAGTACTTGGGCTGGTCTGGTAAGACTGGGTCCCCTGGGTCTGGGAGTTGTAAGGCCATGGTAGGGACCGAGGTAAGGGCTACTGCCTTTGCAGCCTGGTCAGCCTTTTGGTTGCCTTTCGCTACCGGGTCATCAGCTTTTTGGTGTCCCTGGCAGTGGATTATGGCTAACTTGGCAGGAAGCCATAAGGCCGCGAGCAGGTCGAGAATTTCCTGCTTATTTTTTATTGTCCGTCCCTCTGCTGTCAATAGCCCTCTTTCCTGGTAGATTGCCCCGTGAACATGAGCTGTAGCAAATGCATAACGGCTGTCTGTGTAAACATTAAGCCGTTTTCCAGCCCCCAGTGTCAGTGCCTTGGTGAGTGCAATGAGTTCTGCTCTCTGAGCTGATGTCCCAGGGGGCAGAGCCTCCGCCCACACGGTGTTCGTGTCTGTGACCACCGCTGCACCCGCATACCTGCACCCGTTCCGCACGAAGCTGCTTCCATCCGTGAACCAGGTGGCCTCTGCATCCAGGAGGGGCCGATCGGTCAAGTCCTTCCGAAGTCCATGTACCTGCTCCAGGATTCCCGCACAGTCATGTAGTGGGGCATCTAGGTCAGGGTCAGGTAGCAGGGTAGCAGGGTTGAGGGCCGCACTGGGATGGAACCGTACTCTAGGGGGGTTGAGCAGCAAGCTTTGATAGTGGGTCATGCGAGCATTGCTCATCCACCTATCGGGAGGTTGTTTTAGGACCCCTTCAATGGCATGCGGGGTTGTGATCCAGATCTCCTGTCCCAGGGTCAGTTTGTCAGCATCCTTGACTAAGAGCGCGGTTGCCGCAATGATTCTTAGGCACGGTGGCCAGCCAGCGGCTACGGGATCCAGCTTTTTAGACAAATATGCTACTGGGCGACTCCAGGGGCCTAAAGCCTGGGTTAAAACTCCTTTTGCTACTCCTTTGCGCTCGTCTACAAAGAGGCGAAAGGGTTTTGTAATGTCTGGTAGGCCCAGGGCTGGAGCAGCCAAAAGAGCTTTCTTTATCTGATTAAAGGCAATTTCTTCTGTCTCAGTCCATTTAAAGGCCTTCCCCTCCTTGGTGGCTTCGTATAGGGGCCTGGCGATCTCAGCAAAACTCGGTATCCAGAGGCGGCAATAGCCAGCCGATCCTAGGAATTCCCTCACCTCCCTCCGGGAGGTGGGAGCAGGGATTTTCAAGACTGTCTCTTTTCTAGCATCTGACAACCGCCGCTGTCCGCCCTCCAGTATGTATCCCAGGTAACTCACCCTCTTTTGGCATATCTGAGCCTTCTTCGCCGAGGCCCGGTACCCTAAGGTTCCTAAGGTGGCCAGCAGATCTTTGGTCCCTTGCTCACAATCTTTGGCTGTATCGGCAGCAATCAGGATGTCATCTACGTATTGAAGAAGGGTGAGATTGGGGTGTTCCCTCCTGTACTCACCGAGGTCTTCATGCAGCGCCTCGTCAAAGATGGTGGGTGAATTCTTGAATCCTTGGGGCAATCGCGTCCAGGTTAATTGTCCACTGTAACCCTCCTCGGGGTCGTGCCATTCGAAGGCAAACAGGGGTTGGCTTTGAGGCGCTAGCGGCAGGCTGAAAAAGGCATCCTTCAAGTCTAATACAGTATACCAGATTCTAGAGGGTGCCAGAGAGCTTAGGAGAGTGTATGGGTTAGGAACGGTTGGGTGTATATCCAGGACTCTTTTATTTACTTCCCGGAGGTCCTGAACTGGCCGATAGTCATTCGTATGGGGCTTTCTGACTGGCAGGAGGGGGGTGTTCCAGGCAGATTGGCATGGAACCAGTACCCCTAGGCTTCGCAGTCTCCGGATGTGAGGCTGGATTCCCTTCCGAGCCTCCTGGGACATAGGGTACTGTTTGACTCTCATCGGGCCTTCTCCTGGTTTTAGTTCTACCAGCGTTGGGGCCCTGTGGGCGGCCAGCCCTACTCCCCCCGTCTCTGCCCAGGCTGTGGGGAATTCTTGCAGCCACCTGTCCATATTGTTCTCTACTGGGGGCGCCCCCTGGTGGAGGCGATATTCATCCTCCAGTCTCAGAGTCAGAACCTGGATGGGGTGGCCTTCGCCATCGGTGACCTGAGGCCCCCCTTGTCTGAAGGTTATTTGGGCCCCAATCTTGGTTAGCAAGTCTCGTCCTAATAGGGGGTAGGGGCATTCTGGTATTACCATGAAGGAATGGGATACCCGGCCCGTTCCTAGATCTACTGTTCTTCGGGTAGTCCATGAATACTGGCTCATGCCAGTTGCCCCTTGCACCCAGGACTTTTTGCTGGCTAGCTTCCCCTGAGGTGTGCGGAGAACCGAATGTTGCGCTCCAGTGTCGACAAGGAAGTCAACAGGTGTCCCCTCCACTTTAAGAGTTACCCTGGGCTCGGGGAGGGGATCCGAACTCCGACTTCCCTAATCACTCAGTCCTTCCAGCTCCAACACCTCCACCCGGTCTGTCTTGTTCCCCTTTTTACCGGCCTTCTTTGGGCATTCTCGGACCCAGTGCCCTATCTCTTTGCAGTAAGCACACTGGTTCTGTTGTAGCTTCCTTTTCCCGTCCCGGGCAGTTCTCTTACCTCTTTCTTGGCCATCAGCGAGCTGGCGGAGGTGGCGGGTCCGCTCCCCAGGGGACTCCATGGTGGTGGCTAGCAGAATCTTGGCCAGGTTTCGAGTCTGCTTGTCACTGGCAGCCACCATGGCGCGGGCTTGCCTCTCCTCAGGGTGCTCTCGGTTATTGAACACCTTCTCTGCTACTACCAGTAAATCCTGTAAACTCTTTTCTCCTAATCTATCTATTCTCTGTAGTTTCTTTCTAATGTCCATGGCTGACTGGTTTATAAAACTCATGATTACAGCTGCCTTATTCTCAGGGGCTTCTGGATCCATGGGGGTATAGGTGCGATATGCCTCCATGATTCGTTCTAGAAAGGCAGCTGGAGACTCATCTCTTTCCTGCTGTACGTTCCCTACCTTGGTCAAATTGGTGGGCTTCCTAGCAGCCCTGCGGAGACCTCCCATTAGAGTCTGACGGTAGACCAAGAGCCTCTCCTTACCTTCTGCCGTGTTGAAATCCCATTCAGGCCTAGTTAAGGGAAAAGAGACATCTATCTGGGCCTGGTTTGTGGTTGGATTTCCGTCTACACCGGGAACCATCTTTCGGGCCTCACTGAGGATCCTTTCTCTCTCTTCCGTTGTGAACAGAACCTGTAAAAGCTGCTGACAGTCATCCCATGTGGGCTGATGGGTGAAAAGAACAGAATCTAGCAAGTCAATAAGTCTCCCCGGTTTTTCGGAGAACTTAGGGTTCTGTGCCTTCCAGTTATAGAGGTCGCTAGTTGCGAAAGGCCAATAAACATGGGGCTGGTTGCCATCCGCATCTGGAGGTCCAGCGGCTCGTAAGGGCAGGGTCTTGATAGTGGAGTCGGGTGCTGCGACAGACAGCTCCCGCTGAGCTCTTTGCCGGGTGAGAGGTGGGCCTCCTACTGGAACCGGAACCGCGGCTATTCCCGGAACCCCGCCCCCAGCCATTCCCGGAACCCCGCCCCCAGCCATTCCCGGAACTGCGTCAGCTTCCCGCGACGGGGTAGGATCGAATCTCTCCGGCATCCTGTGGAAATGATACGGGGGAGGAAAAATTAACTCTTCTCCAGTTCCCCCCTGCAGAACCGGGTAGGGGGGAGCTGGAGCTGACGGCAGGGTGGCTTTCTTCTCCTTCTTCTTCTCCGCTTCCTGCAAGGCAAGAATGGGTTCTGGCTCCGGAGGGTGTGGAGGTAGGAAGGGCCTAAGCCAAGGTGGTGGATTTTCCACGAGGTCCTGCCAAGTAACAATGTAAGAGAGTTGACCAGGATGTCCCTCTTTGGGCTGGGAGACGACATCCCTAACCCGGCGAATGGTGGGGAGATCGAAAGTCCCCTCCGGCGGCCACCCAACATTAAAAGTTGGCCACTCCCTAGAACAAAAAGTCCGCCACCGGTCCTTCTGGACCTCCGCACTGAGGTTGCTGGCCCTTCCCTTTACCTCTTTAAAATGATCGACCATAATGCTTAAAGGAGTAGTTTGAGCCTGTCCCATAACGTCCATCCAGTAAATCCACAAAATAAAACCGAGAAAACACAAACACAGACAACTAAGGGGCCCGAAAATATAGTATTCCAACTCCATGGAAGCGAAACCAAAACAAGCTTCCAACTCCATGGAAGCAAAAACCGAAAACGACGGCTGCGTGCCAACCAGCGGGAGCGCTCCGACTGTCTCAGATTAAGGGGGTTCCTACAGACCTTCCGACTCCGCGGAAGCAAAGCTATACCCTTTCAGATGGAGGACCAGGGGCGCCCTCCTGCCTGTCTCAGATTAAGGGGGTTCCTACAGACCTTCCGACTCCGCGGAAGCAAAGCTATACCCCTTCAGATGGAGGACCAGGGGCGCCCTCCTGCCTGTCTCAGATTAAGGGGGTTCCTACAGACCTTCCGACTCCGCGGAAGCAAAGCTATACCCCTTCAGATGGAGGACCAGGGCGTCCCCCGGCTCCTCCCACCTGTTGATCCCGTGCATCCACTCAGATCATTATTTCAGGCATTTACAGGCATTTACAGATTTCAGAAGTGAGCTCACACCGGATAGATACAAAACAAAACACGCGACACAAACAAAACAAAAAACACGCGACACAAACAAAACAAAACCTACCGCGGTCAGTCAGGCCCTCCGGACTGGGAGTCCCCTCAATGGTGTTGGGGATCCCGGCGAGCCCCCAAAATGTTATGCCCAGAATTCAAGATCCCCAAGAAACCATGCCAGGGAGTCAGTCCGATGCAAAAGCAGGAGGTCCTTTATTGAGTTAGCTAACCCGACCCGGACCTCCAGTCGACGCAGCGACCGGAAACCGAGTGAGACCCATGTGAAAATCCGGGCTTTCATAGTGAGGGGAGGGGAGCTGGCTGTGGCCCTGCCGATTGGCCGGGCGCAAGTCGGGTCTTGTTACACAGGATGTGGTCATCTCTATGGCGCGCACATCCCTTGCTTGTCATTGGTTAGTTCAAAGAAATCCTGGGCGTGGCCAGCAGGGGCCTGGGCTCGGGAAGAAGGCACTTTTCTGAGCACATGGCCTCTGCCCCAACATGGAGGATCCAGGGTAAGATGGAGGGCGTAGCCCTCGCCCTTTCAATGTAATCTAAATGTAAATGTGGAGATAATAATGGCCACTTATCTATTTGTAGGGTAGATGTGAGAATCACAATTTTAAATGAGGGAATATCAGCTCAATTTTGCTGTGAACCTGAAACTGCTCTAAGAAATAGTCTATTTTTTAAAAGATATGTTTTTATTGATTTTAGAGAGAGAGGAAGGGAGAAGAGGGAGAGAGAGAGAGAGAGAGAGAGAAACATCAATGTGAGAAAATGGGTCTACTGCCTCCTGTACACACCCAAATCAGGGAGGGAACCTGCAACCTGGATATGTGCCCTGACTGGGAATGGAACTGGCAACCTGTCGAAGCATGGGACAACACTCAACCTTCTGAGCCACACCAGCCAGGGCAGAAATAGTTTATTTTTTTTAAGTGATGGAATGTGGGGAAGATACTTTATAAAACTTTAAAGCATTTCACACATGCTAAATATTCTATTAGGCCTAAGAGCAAGCCTTGGGGAAGAGGGCACTGACAGACCTCCCTAGAGCAGACTAGAACATCCCAACATACCCCAGGAGCTGTGTTTCCAACTCAGGGCTGGGGGTGAATGAAGTGGCAGTGAAGTGAGGCAATCGGGGGGTCTCATGATCCCACCCATGGACCTGGCAGCCTTTTCAATCATTCGGCTAACTCTGCCTGATACTCATTGGATGCTCCTTTCTCCCTGCCCTGTCGTCCCCAAGGTACATGGATAGCCGCTTCGATTACTTTCAGTGGAAAGAACAGGTAATCCCTGAGAACCTCCCCACTGCCCTACTTCCCCCAAGTGGCCTATGACAGTGGGAAAGTTCCCAGCTTCCTCTCCAGAGCACACAGAGGTGCCACCCACTGTGGAAGAGCTGGCTTCATCTCTGGGTGTCGTGAAGTCACTCTGAACGTCGGAAGCCTGGGTAGAGGGACTGACCTCTGCTAGTTACATCCTTGCCTTCAGACTCCTGCAGGCAGACCCAGATCTAGTTATTTCCCTTCTCCCACAAACTCTCTAACATCCCTCTCAGTCTGGCCCAAAAAGATGGAAAAAGGAACCCAATTCACAAGGTGGAATAATTTAGTACTAAAAAGAAATGAGCTATCAAGCCATGAGCAGACGTGGAGGAAACTTAAATGCATATTACTAAGCAAAAAAGCCAATCTCCAAAGGTTACACACTGTATGATTCCAACTATATGACATTCCGAAAAAGGCAAAACTTGGAGACAATAAAAAAATCTGTGGTTGTTAGAAGTCAGGGGAGAGGGAGGGATAAAAAGGCAGAGTACAAAGGATTTGTAGAGCAGTGAAACTACTCTGGTAGAATACTATAATGGTGATACATGTCATCATACATTTGTCAAATCTATAGAATGTGTAACACCAAGTGTGACCCCTAAGGTAAACCAGGGGCTTTGGGTTATAATGTGTCAATGTAGGTTCATGGATTTATAACAAGTATATCACTCTGGTGTGAGATGTTGATAGTGCAGAAGGCTGTGTGTGTGTGTGTGTGTGTGTGTAGTATATGGAACTCTCTGTACTTTCCACTCCATTTTGCTATGAACCTAAAAATGCTCTAAAAATAAAGTTTATTGATTAAAAAATAATCCCTTATCTTTTAGAGCTACATACTGAAATATATATGGACCAAATGATATCCAGTCTAGAATCTGCATCAAAATAATATGTTGGGGAAAGTGGGTAGAGATATAAATGAAATAAGATTGAGAATTGAGTTGACAGAAGAAGCTGAGTGAAGGGTAAATGAGGATTTATTATGCTATTTCCCCTGTTTGTGTCTAATTTGAAATTTTCGTGTAACAAATATTTTAAGAAGAGCGAGGGGTCACAACTATTTCTTTAGACACCCCCTTTGGTGAAAATAGTGGAATGTGGTTTGGGGCTGGGAGAAAGGGGATAGCCTGGAACTTAAAGTATGATTTCGGAATGGCAAGGCAGGAAGGAAGACATGGGCAAAGGAGAGTATAGGAAAGGGAAAGGGAAAGAACAGAAAAGGGAGATGAGCTTACTGCTTCCCCCTACCCTCTTTCTTCCCCTTTTCTTCACTTACTCATTCCTTACCCTTCACCTCTGTGGATGAAAAATCATCTTGGACTTAACAATTAAGATTCCAGGCACCAAATTATGAAATTCCGATTCAGTCCGCATGGCCTGAGGGTCCCCATTTTCCATATGGGCCCTCGCAGGATTGCCGGTATGCACCTCCCCTGAGCCCAGTGCTGCCCCTGTGAGCAGGCTGGTATTTCTGTCACTGACCTCTGCTCTGCTGGGCTGAAGACCAAACCACTGTGCTTTCCAAGTTTCTGGGACAGCGCCCACTGCTTCAAAGCAGAGAAAAAGAAAGGGGATGATAGATTATGTAAAGAGGTTGTTTCTTGATTTCCTTTAATGTGTGTGCGGAAATATGCAAATGACGAGGGTCCCTTGAGTGGGGGAAAACAGAAATGCATTAGCCAGCGATGGCTTGAAAGTCATCTCCTTTAAGACCTTCCAGCCTGGCCAGTGTGGCTCAGGGGCTGAGCATGGACCGAGGAACCAGGAGGTCAAGTTGGATTCCCAGCCGGGCACACGCCTGGGTGGCGGGCGATCGCCAGCAGGGGGCGTGCAGGAAGCAGCCGATGGATGATTCTCATTATGGACGTTTCTCTCTCTCCTCTCGCTGAAATCAATAAAAAACATATTTTAAAAATTAAAAAATAATAAATAAGGCCTTCTAACTCTTTCTGCTGATGTTCTCTGACTTTATATTCACTGAACAACCTTCTGATTTTAATGGGACTCGACTAAGAATTTTAAAACAACAAAAGCACTCACTGCTAGCCCTGAGTGCCGCAGTCCTCTTGGCGGTTCTACCTTTTGTTGTCGGGTTTAATCCCTCGCCCTTGACTTCCCTGGACTCCCGAAGGCCTGAATGCAGGAGAACTCGGTCGCCAAGATCTCACCCCCATCAGCGAACTAGTAAACCTCAGCTTTAGGGCTGAGATAACAAACCAGTCCACGGAACCGAGCGGAAACTTCCAGGACAGCGACCTGATGGCTGAGGCACCATCACATTCGGGGCAGCGAGACAACTCCCTTCCCGTAGGGAAATAATTGGAAATTCTGGACTCTCCCTCTGCTCCCCTGAACGAGGGGTGGGGGTAACGAGAGCCACGTGCTGGGGAGGCCAGGAGGAAAAGTCTCGCCATGTAAGTCGGCCCAGGTCAGCTAAGAAACACACACAGCGTGCTTAGTCTGAGCACTGCCCGGCAGTAATTGTAGTTTTAAAAGAGTATGAAGAGGACGCTGTCGCCTGGTTCAGAGAACATGAGGGAGGGTCTGTAGGGGGCGGAGAAGAGGGGCAACTATCAGAGAGGGTTGGGTTGGTGGCACCGACGGGGCCGGGTGAGCAGGAGACAAAAGTGCGAAGGGGTCACAGAGCTTCGGGAACCAGGGCCAGGTGGGCAGGAGGCCAGAGGTAAATGGGGGAAGAGCCCGAGAATGGACGGGGAGGACGGGAAGGAGGGCGCACAGCTCAGCCGCGGCGACACGGGAGTGTTGTGAGGCGCGGGATCGCCACGCACGCAGCAGCGAGGACAGAGGACCGCGCGGAGGAGAACGCGCCCACGGCGTCCTCCAAGCCGGCGCCTCGCCTCGCCTCGCCGCGCCGCCCCTGAAGCCCCGCCCCCCGTCCCGCGCGCAGCCCGTTCCGGGTTCCCTTGGTCGCGCGGCCCTATAGTTCCGGCAGCGGCGCGCGGGCGGAAACTTTAAGCGGCCGGACTGCGCCAGCGTTGGGCGCCGGGTGAGTGGGGGAGGCCGGGGCTGCGGGGGTGTCTTCGTTGCTGGTCAGACCTGTAGGAGCAGGGGTCAAGGGTGGGGAGCAATGCGGAGCCAGCGCCCGGCTTTCCCGCTGTTCCGGCTGTCGCTCCGCGCGGTCTCTGCGGCGCCGGTTCCGGGGCCCTGCCCCCGGCCTCCCCCTCTCTAGGGCTCGGGGTCGCCTACTCCGCGCAAACACCAGGATTTCGGACCTCGGCTCAGGCCTCGGTGCCCCCTGACCCCCTAAGAGACTTCCAGATCTCTCTCCCTCTCTCTCTCTCTCTCACGCTTTGAGAGCTAAACTGCTGAGAATCAATTCTTTATAAATAAGCTGGTTGTCACCTTTAGGGGAGAATTATAAATGTACTGATGGAGGCCTGGCATCGAGGCCAAATTGGCGGCGAGGGTCTGTTATCAGGAGTAGACTGTTCTGTCCTGCGCGCTGTGTGGACACTACTTTGGGGCAGGTGTGGGGTGGGTGGGAGACCTGCAGGTGAGACTCGCCCAGCTGAGACTCCATCAGGCTCTCCCAGAATTGCCGGACGGTGGTGGGCAGGTTTTGTCTGACCAGGCCTACACTGCTTGAGTGAACCATCCTTCAAAACACTCGGTTCTTTTACTTCCGTGCTGCAACCTGACTTACTAAATGGGCCTCCCCCGGCGGTGCCATTGTTAAGGAGGGTGTTTGCTGGCGGGCACGCATGCGTCGGCCGGAGAAGGGCATCGCCGGAGGTGTGTGCAGAGAAGGCCACCCGCTCCCGCGTTGAGCAGAGTCCATGGGCCGGCAGTGCTTTCTTACACCTGATCCAACTCTGCCTGCCCTGCCTCCCGGTCTCCTAAGAGGCAAGGGTAGTACTCCCTGTGACCCCCAACTTTCAGTCACAGGAAGGCCTCTGTGCATGAGGGGGGCCACCATCATCGGCATAGACTCTGCAAGTGGGCAGAGACGTAGGAGTCGCCGGTGTCTGCTTGAATGAGGAGGAAAACATGTGTTTCTGGCCTCGGAATTCGTCAGGTGCTTGGCCAAAGAATTAATGTTATAAAAGGCAATTAGGGGCAGTTCATTAGTCATCCAGCATTCGCCAAGTGCTCACTCTGTGCCGCTGACTGAAAGACGCCGAGGAGACATGGGTGGGCGAAGTCTGACTCGGTCCCCACCCTTGGGGGGGGGGGGGTATTCTCTGATGTCATGTGGCCGAACCAGCATTGTGCAGGGCCCCACTTGAACCGCACAGCTGAGACCCAGAAAGGACCTGTAAAGAGACTGCGTAGCTGGAATAGTACCAGTGTGACACACCTAAGCTGATGCGTGTGGCACTAGAAGAACCCTCGGGCTCAGAATCGGACACTTCGACTTTGGGCACCGTTTTAACAAACTCGGTTATCTGGCTCTCTCTCCAGCGTTGTGGCCAAGAAGCAGCAAATTGGAGGGAGGGTGATGACGGAGGATTCCTGAGAAAAAGTGGAATGCAAGCTGATTCTAAAGAGGAGGCACCAAAGCAGCACAACAGCCTGGATTTCTTGGACACAAGGCAGTGTTTCCATGTATGTTCTATACCAGTGGTTCCCAACGGGCACTGCCCCACGGGGGGGCAATTTGATTTTTAAGGGGGGCAATTCGAGAATAAGTTATTAACTGAATTTTTTGCATTTCTTATGGTTCTAGGGGCCTCATATACAGTGTGTATATATTGCACATATTTATGCATTTCAGTTCTCTGTTACATGTTTTGAAAGTTTATTTGCTATTTTTTCATATCACTTCATATTATTATTATTTTTCAACAGTTTCTTAGTGATTTCTTCCTCAGTACTTAAACTGCTCTTTCGTTCCTTTATTTTTCTTTTTCATGGATGCCATGTTCTTTGGAAGCTTGTTTAGACCAAGGTAATGGGCTTTTAGGCTTCCTCCACGTGAATAGGAGTTCACTTTTTGAATAATGAGAATTATATGTCACAGGGGGCGCATCAGGATTTTAGAGATGCTTAGGGGGGGCATGGCCAAGAAAAAGGTTGGGAACCACTATACTATTCTATCGGACCTTAACAGTAATTACATAAAGAAGGGTTAAATGGGAAACACAGGGTTAGCAAATTACTAAATGCATTACTAATATGCATTCTTTGCTATAGTACTCGGCTTCTGTAATAAGGCCTGAACTCATTTTTCTTGAAAGACCCTTCCAGAACAGTGTTCCGCATCACACACTTGGGGGAATGCTATTATAAGTGAAACATCAAGGTAGCAAATTGGTTGGGCAGTTGTTGGTGTTTAGAGTGGTGATGTCAAGTCATCGTAAGACGTGAATTATACGTTTAGCACAGTGTTTAAGAGGAATACACAATTTAATTTTTTCTATCAAAATGGTTAAATATTTTAGAATTCTAAAGTCTGGAAATGTACTTCATATCTCTAGTTTAGTCTTTATTGATATTGGATACATGAGGCATTATTGTATTTGAAATGTATCTCAGGCCGTTCATTATGTGCTAAAGAGGTTTTTCCTACCTGACTCAGTCCCTGGCCCTCATTTATAACATTGTTTCCATGAACCAATATATTCTGAGTCCATGCCTCCCCACACCTTGCAGCCTATTTGCACATGGACTTTTAAAATATCACACATTTGCAGTTGGAAATTGTACCAAAACAAGCAGTCTGGCCACTGTTAGGTGTTTTGAAGTAAGTTCAAAAAAAAAATTAGTGAACATTAAATGTCTAACCTGTTTATGTCCATTCAGAGTCTTACCTAATTGTATATATGCATACGATCCTGTGACCTGCTTTTCTCACTAACACTTTATATAAATATTTCTGATATCTACATGTCATTTATTTATATGATATTTTATTGTGTCATTAGACTGTAGTTTGCATTATAGAGTAGCAGCAAGCTGTGTTCCCAAGAGCAGGTCTGTGTATCTGTGAACTTTTTTCTTTATTTTTGAGACCAGAAATGTTTTCTTTGTGCTAATTCTCACTCCATAATTTTAAAGAACTTTTTGTCTTCTCCATTTCTTCTACATTTTTACTCTTATACACAGTTTCATGAGATAATGCCAGCTGTCATACATACTCTTTATCTTCGTTCTTTTCCTCCCAGTTAAAGCCTTGTTGCCTGTTTACAGTCAGTGAATACTACTGAGGCTAATAGTCTTGCTTTTGTCATGTTTAATGATTCCCAGCTTTGTCTATTTTGGATTATGATTTTATTGGCCCTTTCATTTTTATATTTTGCATTCATTTTAATTAAAAAGATGGGGGGGTGACACCAAGTAACAAGATAATTAAACATTTGCACTGTACTGTTATACCAATTAAGATAGTGATGGTGCCCAAAAAGCCTGGCTAATTGTCTAAAAGCGCCACAGTGTGACAAATAGAAATGTTCTTTAGTAAATTCTGTGTTGGAGAGAGGATGTAGGAATGTGTGTTATATTAAGTTATAAAATTTGGAACTGTGAAAGTCAAGGACTACCCGAATTTAATGTTTGTTTGTTTTAATAGAAATACTTAAGGCCATTCTTGATTTATAGCCATTTAGTGGGCGATGGCTTGCTTGCTTCCCTCCCACTGCATTCTCTAGATTTGCCCTCACCTCAACTTAAGTGGAGTTTGCCTCCACTCATTTCTGGAAAGTTTGGTTAAAATTATGGTTGGGGGGGGGGGGGGGAGACTTTGTACTCTCCATGACATATAACCTAACCGTATTTATTTTCTACAGCATTTTTCTATTAATAGCTGTCTGTCTGCATTCTGATTGGGAACATTGGGCTCATTTCATCATGCCAACAGTGGTGGTAATGGACGTATCCCTTTCCATGACCCGACCTGTGTCTGTTGAGGGGTCTGAAGAATACCAGCGCAAGCACCTAGCAGCCCACGGTTTGACAATGCTGTTTGAGCACATGGCCACGAATTACAAGCTTGAGTTTACAGCCCTGGTGGTTTTTTCGTCACTCTGGGAGCTGATGGTTCCCTTCACAAGAGATTATAACACCCTACAGGTATAAAAAGGAATGAGTTATTGTATGTACAAGGTCCAAATTGATAGGGAGCAAAAAGTGTTATCATATTGTACTGAATATTTAGAACTTGGAATTATTTAATGATAAATCTATGGGTATAATATCTAAGTATAGCTATAAAACAAGGATTCACAACCAGTATGTTTTATGTCTTTGGTAGGGTTATGAGTTAGAGCTGTGAGTTGTTGTCTTATTTTCTTCTCTTAGTTTCCTGGAATTCTCTCAGGATGTAGTGGCCCATTCCCTAACGTTCATTAATATTTCCAACAGAGCCTAGCACAGTGCCTTACCCATAGTGATCAGCCAATAAGTGTTTGTGAAATTAAATTGAATAGTTTAATAATTGCTAGGCAGTTTAGAAATCCAGGATCAGTGTAGTTTGATTTTTAAAGTGTAAGTAATAAAATTTTGTTAAATCATTATTTTTTATCTAACTTTTTCTAAGTGACTCAAAAACATGTTGTTGTTTTTTTTAATTGCACTGGATTTCTTATAAGTGAGTAAACTAAGGATTTTGGATCTCCAGCAGTTCTAAAAGTTAGAGAACTCTTAAAGTAGGTGGTGCAGAGTAATTGTTAAGACCTGGAGTCCTGGAGTCAGACTGACTGGGTTCAGATCTAGACTGTGACACTTCTAGGCATGAGACCTGGGAAAGTTACCTAATTATTCTGTACCTTAGTTTCCTCATTTTAAAAAATAGGTTAAGCCCTGGCCAGTGTACGTCAGTTTGTTGGGAGTCATCCCATGCAATAGGAAGTTGCCAGTTAGATTCCTGGTCAAGGGCACATGCCCAGGTTATGGACATAACCCCCGGTGGGGAGCATGCAGGAGGCAGCCTATCACATATGTTGCTCTCTCACATTGATGTTTCTCTCTCCCTCTCCCTCTCTCTCAAAATAAATAAATTATTTTTTTTTTTTAAAAAAATGGGTAGGGTGTTGTGATGAGTAAATGCATGTAAAGTGCCCAGAATGGTATTTAGGATATAGCTAGTTCTCAGTAAATGTTGACATTTTTGTGATGTATTTAAAAGTGCTTCATTTTAATTATTTCTTTCAAGGTCCACTTAGAAAGATATGAACTTGGTGAGCTGTTCACTCTCACCTGATGAAGAGGACAGAATGAAGGGAACCTCTTTTCATTATCCTTTATAGCTGAGGAAGTCTGTTTTACTGTGTTTAAGAACCTATGCTTTGGGACTCTTAGAAACAGTGTCCCCTATGTAACATGCATGCTTTTATGTTGTTTTCTGATAACAAATTAAAATGAGCAATTTTATCTTTTATTCGATTAGGAAGCACTAAGTAATATGGATGATTATGATAAAACCTGCTTGGAGTCTGCATTAGTTGGTGTTTGCAACATTGTTCAGCAAGAATGGGGTGGTGCAATTCCTTGCCAGGTAATTATCAATTCTTTTTCATTGCTCTAAGTTAAAAACATTAACCACTGAGGTGCTTTCATTTTCTTTAAGCTCTAACACAGCATGCAATGTAATTTCTACAAACTATGTTATTTGCTTGTGGTATCTTTTTAAAAGAAGGCACTAAATCAACACTAATATGCTCAGAAAGCAGCACAATTGTGCCTTAAAGGAAGCATCCTCCTAGTAAATTGACTTCTTGAAAACTAGTATTATTTGTGTAAAATACAAAGGGCCCACAGTGGAATTTTAGAACACTCTCTAGAAGGGTTGATTTTAATTTTTTGAGTGATAGAATTTTAAACATCAGTACAATGTAGTCTATCTTTGTTATCTCAATGTAGCATTTACTCAGCCAACTTTTAACCATCTTAACTATCTGTTATCTAAAAAGTGAGGAGTATGAATGTCAGGAAATCAGTTGCCCTTTACTTAGAGTCTATAGTAGGTCCATATTAGCATCAAATCAGAGCAGAATAGTAGCTGAAAAAAAGAATTGGAAGTTTGCTATACACAGGTGCTTTAAGAAGTGGTAGCATATTTTAAGAAAGGTGCTAAGAGGAAAATTATAATACTGTAGTCTACAACAGAAGTCAGCAAACTTTTCCTGTGTTAGGCTTTGCAGATGTCCGTGGCAACTCCTCAACTTCGCTATCATAGCATGAAAGCAGCCATAGGTAATGAGTAAATAAACGGGCATGCTGTGTTCCAGTAAAACATTATTTACAAAAACAGGCAGTGAGCCATAGTGTATGATTTGTATTTTAGGGTCAAACACAGGCTTCCTCATTAGTGTCAGTGGCATCACTGGTATTTATGCCTGTGGGTAAGGGAAAGGTAGGGGTTGACTTACTCTTCTTAAATGAAGGACAAAGAAATATGGGAAATGATGGAACTGGTCTTTATCTTGATTGCAGAAGTTGTTACATCACTAAAAGCATTTTTCAGAACTGTATACTAAAAAGGGTGAATTTTATTGCGTGTAAATTATATCTCAATATACCCAACTTTTTAAAAATTGTTTGGGTGGTGTTTTTTTTTTGCTGTAAAATTACCCTGTTTTATAGAGTATGAATTATATGGGTTAATGAAGACCCTGAGCTACTACTAAAAGAAATCAAATACTTTAGTGGACCCTTGCTAAAAAAAGCTAGTAAATGCCTTTTAATTAATTTATTTTCAGAAATAAAAATGTTTGGCACCTTACTTCATAAACGTTATTTATTTGGTAAATCCATGCAAACAGAATATCTAATTTCCTGACAATATACTAAATAAATGAAGTCTTATTGTCAGTATCTTCTGAACTGGAATCTAGCAAGTAGCACAATTTCATTTGCTATTTCTTCAGTAGTTTTATTTTTTTTTAATTAAATACATTGGGGTGACATTGGTTAATAAAATTATATAGGTTTCAAGTGTACAATTCTGTGATACCTCATCTGTATATTGTGTGCCTTACCAAACAAAGTCAAGTCTCCTCCATATGATAGTCTTCAGTAGTTTTAGAGAAGAAATTCAGAGAATTTGTGCACCAGAAAGACTTCTGCCTTTTATTGTTTTTTCTTCCTTTGCAAAAAGGAAGAGTCTGAATTAGAGATGTATTGTACCCTGAGGACAAGGGCTGGCCCTGAATCCACTTTAACTTAGTTGATGAATTTTGGGGTGAACAATTCAAAATACTGGACTAGAGGTGGAAGTTATTAGTGATTATTTTTATAATCAATTACTGTCAGATATTTATTTTAATGTGGAAATTTTTTAACCAATCTTTGAGATAGCTGGACTGTGTCTTTATTATTTGAGTAAAATCTGTCTCATTTTGACATTCCATGAAATATTTCATCGTATAGTATTGAAGAAACTAGTGGCAGAAGTAAATCATTAAATAGCAATTATTGGTACCTAGAAGAGGAAATTACTTTGTAGTCAATTGACTATCTTCCCAAAAGATGACATTGCTCCAGGGGACCTCTATGAAGTAAGCATTCGTGGGTTTTAGAAGTAGGTGCCAATCTTGTTACTTCACATGGTGCAACCACCTAATACTTCCTTACTGGCCTGTATTATCAAGTTACTAGGAGAGCTAAGATCATTCTTCTCTGAAATGCTTGGAAAAGTCTGCCCCCCACAGGATTGCTTTGAAGCAATGAAGAAAAGAAAAATGATTTGTAATTATAGTCTCTCATTAGGATATTTTGAAGGGTTTTTCAAATTACAAGTTGATTAAGAATGTATTTTAAAGGTCTTGTACACATGTGGTTAAATGGTTTTTAATAGCCTGGCCAGTGTAGTTCAGTGGTTGAGTGTTGACCTATGAATCAGGAGGTCATGTTTCAATTCCCGGTCAGGGCACATGCCCAGGTTACGGGCTTCATCCCTAGTAGGGGTCCTGCAGGAGGCAGCCAATCAATGATTCTTTCTCATCATTGATGTTTCTATCTCTCTCTCCCTCTTCCTTCCTCTCTGAAATCAATAAAAATATGTTTAAGTGGTTTTAATAAATATATATATATATAAAAAAATATATATATATATATATATATTTTTTTTTTTTTTTGGTTTTGGGTTTGATTGCCAGTTGGGGAACATAGGGAAAGCAAGTGATGTTTCTCTCTCACATTGATGTTTTTCTCTCTCTGTCTCTTTGCCTCTCTCTCTCTCTTCCTTCCTCTCTCTAAGTATGTGTGAGGATTAAAAAAAAAAAAAAAAAAAAGAGCAAAACATTTGAAGAGATGCCTCACAAATGAATGTACACAAATGGCCAAATGGGCACATCAAAATATACTCATTGTCATCAGACACTCTCAAAAGTCAAATTAAAAGAACAAGATACCACCATATGTCTGCTAGAATTTAAAAGACTGACAATAACAATATTGGCGGAGACAAGGAGCAACTAAAAGTTCCATACCATTGTTGGTAGTAACGTAAAACAGTACAACTAATTTGAAAACAAGTCTGGCAATTTCTTTTCTTTTTTTTTTTTTTAATTAAATCTTTATTGTTCAGATTATTACATTTGTTCCTCTTTTTCCCCCCCCATAACTCCCCTCCTCCCAGTTCCCGCCCCACCCTCCACCCTCACTCCCCACCCACTGTCCTCATCCATAGGTGCACGATTTTTGTCCAGTCTCTTCCCGCATCTCCCACACCCCTTTCCCCCCCAAGAATAGTCAGTCCATTCCCTTTCTATGTCCCTGATTCTATTATAATCACCAGTTCATTCTGTTCATCAGATTATTTATTCACTTGATTCTTAGTCACTTGTTGATAGATGCATATTTGTTGTTCATAATTTGTATCTTTACCTTTTTTCTTCCTCTTCCTCTTCTTAAAGGATACCTTTCAGCATTTCATATAATCCTGGTTTGGTGGTGATGAACTCCTTTAGCTTTTCCTTATCTGTGAAGCTCTTTATCTGACCTTCAATTCTGAATGATAGCTTTGCTGGATAAAGTAATCTTGGTTGTAGGTTCTTGGTATTCATCACTTTGAATATTTCTTGCCACTCCCTTCTGGCCTGCAAAGTTTCTGTTGAGAAATCAGCTGACAGTCGTATGGGTATTCCCTTGTAGGTAACTGAGTTTCTTTCTCTTGCTGCTTTTAAGATTCTCTCTTTGTCTTTTGCTCTTGGCATTTTAATTATGATGTGTCTTGGTGTGGTCCTCTTTGGATTCCTTTTGTTTGGGGTTCTCCGCGCTTCTTGGACCTGTAAGTCCATTTCTTTCACCAGGTGGAGGAAGTTTTCTGTCATTATTTCTTCAAATAGGTTTTCAATATCTTGCTCTCTCTCATCTTCTGGCACCCCTATAATTCTGATGTTGGTACGCTTGAAGCTGTCCCAGAGGCTCCTTACGCTATCCTCGCATTTTTGGATTCTTTTTTTCATTTTGCTTTTCCGGTTGGGTGTTTTTTGCTTCCTCGCATTTCAAATCATTGACTTGATTCTTGCGCTCCTCTGGTCTGCTGTCGGGAGTCTGTATAATATTCGTTATTTCAGTCCGTGTATGCTTAATTTCTAGTTGGTTCCCCAATATAACATCGAGGGTCTCATTAGTTTTCTTGTAGATCTCATTAAGTTTATCGGCGGCTTCTAAACAGTTCTTGAGAGACCTTAAAAGTGTGGTTCTGAACTCTATATCTTCCATTGACAATTTTGTTCTGTTTCTTTGTCTCCGCATTTTGTTATGCTTCCTTGGTGCACCCCCTAGTGGTCTTTGTGCGCAGTCTTATTGTTAAACCTTGATTGTTGTAGCTAATACCAGGGAGGGTTTGACCCAGGCCAAGTGGCTATGAGAATCAGCTGTGTCAGCAGTGAGAGAACTTCTGTCCTCTAGGGAGGTGCTAATCTGGCGTTTGCCTGAGGCTATCCGGCAAATGCCTGTGTGCAGGGCTTGGGCGGGGCGGGGCGGGTCGCACAGGCTCAACAGGGTGGGCTGGGAGAGCAGTTATGGCAGCTCTCAGTCCTGTCCCCAGGGGCTCTGCCTCTCTGAGTCCCAGCACCCGCTGCAAAGCTCAGAGAGAAAGCTGCACTCACTCTGACCGAAGCCAGACAGTCCCGCTTCTCCCATTTGAGTCTGGGTCCCTAAAGACTCGCCTGTATCTGGAGCTCAGAGTCTGCGACTCCCTCCTGATTGAAAACGCCAACTGCGCCCTCCGCCGCCAGCCCGTTCCGCGCACTCCGCACCTCAGAATTTGACTTCAGCACTGCGCCTCCTCTGAGTGTCCGTATGCGTTTCTCTTTCTTCCTAGTTGTAGGACTTCCACTCAGCCAGCGTTCCTGTGGTTCTGGGTGACTTCCGTTACGTCTTTTAGTTTCACTTTTGAAGTAGTTGTTCAAAGCAGCAAACTCCGGCGTTAACCTATGCCGCCATCTTGGTTCTCCAATCAATAAATATATTTTTAATGCAGTTGTTATCCTAGTTGACCAAGGTTAGAGTTTGTCATCTTTAAAAATAAAGTGTCGCCGAAACCGGTTTGGCTCAGTGGATAGAGCGTCGGCCTGCGGACTGAAAGGTCCCAGGTTCGATTCCGGTCAAGGGCATGTACCTGGGTTGCGGGCACATCCCCAGTGGGAGATGTGCAGGAGGCAGCTGATCGATGTTTCTCTCTCATCGATGTTTCTAACTCTCTCTCTCCCTTCCTCTCTGTAAAAAATCAATAAAATATATTTAAAAAAAAAAATAAAAAAAAAAAAATAATAAAGTGTCAAGGTTCAGACTTCTGTGCTGCTAATTTCTAGGGAAACATAAAATAAGTCCTCATGCCATTTTTTTTTCTCACATCGATGCCTTAGGTGCCACCTCCTTATCTAAGAGATAGGATTCTAATTTTAGTACAGTTGACTAAGCGCTAGTTATGAATGTTTTTGTCCTTTTTAAAGTTTTCATAGGTAGGTGCTTTTTTAAAGGTTTAATTAGATAAAATACAGTATATTGCATAGATCTTAAGTACACAGTTCACTAAGTTTTGACACATGCATATACCTATGTAACCACTGCTCCAGTAAAAAACATAGAACACTTCCATTTCCCCCCAAAGTATTCTTATGCCTCTTTCTAGTCAGTATCCCCCCATGCCCACAACCCCTGTTTGGTTTTTGTTAGCTTTGTTTTACCTGTTCTAGAACTTATATAAATAGAATTATACAATGTATCTGTCATCTTTCACTTGACAGAATATTTTTGAGATTTATTCACATAGTTGCTTATATCTTTGCAGAGGTGGATTTTTCAGTATATATGCAATTAGAGAGAAATGAAATTGCTAAATGAGGTTGCTTTAAATGATTATGTTATTTTATATATAAACCTTCTCTCACTTTTTGCAAACAGGTTGTTCTGGTGACAGATGGCTGTCTTGGCATTGGCAGAGGGTCACTGCGGCATTCCCTAGCTACTCACAATCAACGAAGTGAGAGCAACAGGTTCCCACTACCTTTTCCCTTCCCATCTAAGTTATACATCATGTGTATGGCGAATTTGGAGGAGGTAATGCTTTTTACTAAGTTCTTTCCAGTTTGATTAGACATATTTTAGGACTCGGTTTATTTTTTAGTATGTATATCCCCTTAGTATTATATTGCAGATACTATAACGTTGCACTCCATTGGTTTCAGCTGAGGCTGATCAGTTATCTTTGAAAAGACCCTAGAGCTCAAATCCTCTTTGAAAGTTAAAAGCACTGCTCCATTTTAGGAAATACTGTATAGCTAGAGTTGTTAACCATCCTACTGCCCATCAAGACTCTTCAGATGCTGAAATGTTCTTTTAAATGTTGGATATTTCCATCGTTAAGGAATTTTTAAGTCCATTCCGCCAGAAATATTGATAGAAGTGTGCTTTGATTTTTTTTAGTAAAGTAATGTTACTCTGATGTATGTTTTATTAAACTCTATTTCCTGGTTATACTATTTTCATCAGGAAAGCTATTTTCATCTCAGTTTTTTATCTATAAAATGTAGATGATAATGGTACTTACCAAAGATGTTAGAAATACTTTGGAGGAAAGATACTATATCAATACCAACCATGGTCATCTCTGAGAATCTTTGCAAAACTACATCTGAATTAAATAGCTCTACTGGTATTTTATATGACATTTCCTCTTTGGTAACTTTGAATCAAAATTGTTATAGTTGTTTTCCTGCTCACATTGTTAAATTGTTACCAGACAAGTCTGGCCTAGGGCCTACTGGTAAAGTGCAGGTTCTTGACTTTGAGTAGGAAGGATTTCACAATGCGAGTCCAGGTGTTTTTGAGAGTATGTTTATTAAAGCTGGAGACATGAAACAAAGGGAGGGCTTAAGGTAGGAAAAGCAATAGGAGAAGAAAATTCAGAGAAAAGTGGTCCTTGAAGACAGGTTCAGGGGATAGGCCTGGGTCTAGTTGCCACTGCCCAATGCTCTCCTGGTTGCAAGTCTCATGGGGTCCCTTAGAGTTTAGGAGAAAAACAGCAAAGATACAAGGCCACAGCATGCTCTTGTGAGAGCACACTCTTCCTTTGTGTTGAGGCTTTTATTCTCTCTAGCCAGCAGGAATCCTACGGAAGATCTCAGGGAAGGTCTTAACAGAATATTCATTAGCTTTTCAGGTGTGTCCTTCAATAAGTTGATTCATCAAAATGAGCATAAAGAAGTCAGGGGTTATTTTCTGGTTAGTTTCATTTTTTAAAAATGTCATCAAGAACGTCATTGAAGAGGGACCTGACCAAGGCCATTCTGTCCCAGGACAGTCTGAATTATGTAAACCATTTGCTCCTTAATGTCCTTGGTTAGGGAAGATAAAACCTTATGATTCATTAACTAGCTGTAAGTTGCTCAGACTGTTAGGCCTTGCTTAATTATATTGTCTCAGTTTTCCATATTCTACTTGCCAAGGAATTTCTCTATCTTACTCTTCTGCCTCAAAATCATCTCCATTATATTTATTGCCTGTGTTATTGTGATGGGTATGACCTTGTGTGCTGTTAATAATCTGGCATTTTGTGCTACTTTAAACAACTCAACTGTTTTTGCTTTGTAGCTTCAGAGCACTGACTCCTTGGATTGCCTGGAACGCCTCATAGATTTAAACAATGGTGAAGGGCAGATTTTTACTATTGATGGCCCCCTGTGCTTGAAAAATGTTCAGTCTATGTTTGGGTGAGTGTGTACTTAGAGCTTTTTTTTGCCTTCTTACAATCCATTATAATTTGATATCCAGCAATAATATGTATTTTACTATTTCTAATTGTGTCATTTCATTTCCCCCAAGTTTCACATTTTTCAAATAAAATGCTTGGTAGAAGTGATTTTTAAAAGTTCATTCCCTTTTGAATTAAACATGACTAAATCTATATTGACTTCCTTACAATGACTTGGCAATTTCAAAGATTAACTTGCTTTAGGACTTTTCAGAATTGAAATTGCTTCACCCAAAATGTCAGATTTTGTTCTGTTTCAAAATGGTCACATCGTTTTGGAGTCAACTCAAAGGGAAAACAACTTAGCATCTTGAAAAAAATTACTTGAAAAATATTATATGTATCATCTTACTCTTCCTATAATAATTAATCATCATATTCTAGAAAACTGATAGATCTGGCATACACGCCTTTCCATGCTGTTCTCAAGTGTGGCCACCTAACTGCAGATGTGCAAGTCTTCCCCAGGCCAGAACCTTTTGTTGTAGATGAGGAAATCGATCCTATCCCTAAAGTCATTAACACAGGTAACTTTTTTTAAAACTTCCTTCTTAGTTCTTCTATTATCCTAACTTTTTCCTAACTTTTGACTTTTACTCCTCTCTATCCAAGATAGTTAAAAAGAAATATAAATTCTGATACAAGGATGCTGTCGTCATCAGTTATACACTTTGGTTGGGAGGATGCATTGCCTAAGGGGTAGCAGATTAGTAGTCCTTTGTGGTGATGGTGAGGTCATGAATTAATCTCCAATCCTAGATAATAACCCCAAATTCTAGAGTTGGAAATCATGGCCAGATTCATGAGCATTGAAATCCTTGAGGTAATTTTTTTTTTTAAATATATTTTATTGATTTTTTACAGAGAGGAAGGGAGAGAGATAGAGAGTTAGAAACATCGATGAGAGAGAAACATCGATCAGCTGCCTCCTGCACATCTCCTACTGGGGATGTGCCCGCAACCCAGGTACATGCCCTTGACCGGAATCGAACCTGGGACCCTTCAGTCCGCAGGCCGACGCTCTATCCACTGAGCCAAACCGATTTTGGCTAATTCTTAATAGATACTAACGTTACTTAGCATCATAGTTGAGGTCAGATATGAAAGGCTGGCTTCTAGACTTGGCTGAGTGACTCTTCCTGCGTGGCCCTGGACAAGACACTTCCTCTAGTTCTTACTGGCTAAGTGAGTGGAATCTGTAGGTGATGGTCTCTAAAATCTCAGCTCTGTACCTCTCTAGCCACTGCTTATATTATGACTGAAAGAAAGTGAAGTGGCACTGCTTTTACCTGGTTCATGTTGCCAGTGCTGGGCTTAGCTAAGATTCGCAAAGCGAAGAGTCAAAAGTAACAAGGAACAGTAGAGAGGAGAGTTGTCTCCTGTTGGAGGGTGAACTCCTTGAGCTGTGGGTACACATTAAACCATCTCTGTGTCAGTCACCATTGCACCCTCAGTGCCTAGCATAGGGTCAGAAGCTTAGTAGATGTTGACTAGGTAACCAATCAACAGATTCTAAAATTAAGTGCACAGTAAATGTTTATTTCATTCTTGGCTGTACAGGTGGTGTTTTTTTGTTCATCCTCACCCAAGGATATTTTCCCATTGATCTTTTAGAGAGAGTGGAAGAGAGAGGGAAAGACAGAAACATCGATGTGAGAGAAATACATCAATTGGTTGTTTCCTGCACACCCTGACCAAGGCCTGAGCCGGGGAGGAACCTGCAACCAAGATGTGTGCTCTTGATCGGAATCAAACCTGGGACCCGTTGGTCCATAGGCCAACACTCTATCCACTGAGCCAAACCAGCCAGGGCTTGGCTGTACAGTTTTAAGGAGTTTTAGAGTGAAGGACTAAGCACAGGCTTTTTATTTTTTGTGCATTTAGCTCCTGGCTATCTAGAAGTAGGGCATCCATCTCTCATTGTAACGAAACAACCGTGTATTAAGCTATGTCAAACCTTCAGTTAGATTCCCTCCCATCTGTTTTGGATGAGTAACTTTGAATAGGTCTTTCTTTCCTATATAAATAAACTTTTAGTCCATGATCTTGGTAATAGCTTATACTTAAACCCTTTTCTACTCAAATGAAAAATATGTAGCTGCTTTTGCTGATTCATTTGTCATTCAACTAAAGAAGGTAATGAAGGCAAATCTCCAGAAAAGCAATTTCCTGAGTCTTACAAGTACAGTGTACACTCCACAAGCCTGATTTTTTTTAATTGTTTTGAAAATATGAGTGTGTATATATGCCTACAAGACTGAAAAGCAATTCAGTAAAATATGTGTGTGTGTGTGTGTGTGTATGCACACATACATTGTATGTGTGTACACACATACAAATATATATATTTGTTGTTGTTAATTCTCGATTCTTTTAGAGAGAGTGGATGGGAGGGAGGGAAGAGGAGAGAGAGAGAAACATCAATGTGAGAGAGACACATTGATTAGTTGTCTCCTGCATATACCCCGACTGGGGCCAGAGATGAACCTGCAACTCAGGTATGTGCCCTTGGCTAGGAATGGAACCCAAAACCCTGGTCCCCAGACTGACTGTCTAACCACTGAGCAACACCGGACAGGGCCAATAAAATATTAATAGAGGTTTCCTTTGATGATAAATAATGAGTAATGTTAGTTTCCTTCTTTAGAATTTTTAGTGTTTTCCAGGCTTTTATACTATTTATATGATCAGGGGGGAAAAAACCTAAAAACTTTTAAAAAGTATTTTGGGTTACAACTTTTATTTTTTACTTATTTTATGTTTCCAACAAATACTTTTGGTCTTTAATAGGCCTCTCTAAAACAAAGAAACCATTGTCATATTTAGACTGCTAGCTTGATTTTGTAGAGAATGTATTTTTTTCTCAGAATAGCTTTACCCTCCAAGGTTGCTTGGTTGAAGTTGTGGAAGTGTTTGACTATGAAGCCTGGTGGGCTTGAAAAATCCCTGATGATATAGAGGGATTTGGCCTTTACCTTTTGCTTTGGCTGAGATCTACCCTCATAAAAATAAAGTTTAGCTGATTTGTCATATAACTTAAATTCATTAAATAAGGATAATTATTCTTATTTTCTGAGCTACTTAAGTGAAAATGTGTTAGTTATCTAGGAAGACTTCTAATAACCTTCCTACCCATCATGTTTGAATTCCATATCTAAATTAAACATTGTGTTTATGAAATCTAGTACATAGAAAATAATGTACTTTCCTATAAAACTAATTAATTCTATGTTGATTTATCCTTTTCAGATTTGGAAATAGTGGGGTTTATTGATATAGCTGATATTTCCAGTCCTCCAGTTCTATCCAGACATCTGGTCCTACCTATAGCACTTAACAAAGGTGAGTTCTCTTCCTATTCAGTGATACATATGAAGTATCTTATTGTCTAAAGTTATTCATAAGTGTCAGATAATAGAATAGCCCATTTTGCAGAGTTTTTGGGAAAGGAATAGTGATTGGTTTGGATTGAATTTTTTAAAAATGGAATATTGCCTCTTCTACTAGAAAACTAATTCTGGAGCCTTACACTGTGGAAAGCATATTGACACATATTTATTGTGTATTGCTTTATTAATTTACAGTGGAGGTCCTCTTTAAAGATGACAATGCTTTGTCCCTAATCCAAGGCTCTGCCTTTCCTGGTAGAAGGATGGCGAGGAAGCCAAAGTGATTCTTAGAGGTTGCCTGATAAATATGGAGTGAAATACAGCTCCATAAGGGGAGAAACTACACCTGTTCTCTACCAGGGATACTCAGTAAATACTGTGCAATAAAATGGAAGAATCCAGCCCCTTGGGAGGCTTCATTACTACAAAATAAAGCTCTCCAGGAACTATAAAGTCATGTCCCCCAAATTAAACATCTCTATGGAGAATGTTAGTCTCTAGCACTTGAAACTTCTCTTTTCTCTGTTCTAGGCTGACCATCCACTTTATGTTCACCAGCTCTCTCCAAGAAGCATATGTAGTCAGTCAGGTTTCTACTTACTGAGTTATGATCACATTCAGTTGATGGCGGTTGTCTCAGTTGTAAAATTGGCTATTCCATAACCCTCAATCACACATGTACAGACGGAATCTTGAAATGTGCCCAAAGATGGCTTATAGTGATTATTGTTCATAATTTACTTTATTGTTCTTGATATTAATATTGATATCCAAATTTTCCTTCTAAGGTCTAGAGATGGCAGGAAAGGAGGCAGGGATTCTGCATGCCCATATATATTGCCAAGAAAATGGGCAAAATGAAGAGTTTATGTAGGGGAACAATGGAAAGAAAGTGTGGGAAGGCAGAATGGGACCATGTCTTAAGGGCTTTTGAATGTCAAGATAAACGGCAAATTCTTCCTATTGAATTAAAAAGTCTTTGCATAAGATTGAGTGGGCAGATAGTTCCAAAGAGAATTTAATTGTAGGAAGATCCATTTGTCAGCAGAGTGCATGAGAGAGCCTGGTGTTGGAGAGTCAGATCAAAAAGTTTATGGAATAACACTCTTCATCTTGGGTCGGGGGGAGGCTCTCATCCCTGTGCTCCTGAAGGCTGTCAGTTGAGAATACTCTTGCTATCTCTGAATGTGTGCTTTTGTTTAGAAGGTACTTGAAACCCCCAGAGAGCACCTAGCTGAGTGTCCTAGTAAAAGCTGTGGAAAGCTAATTTTTGCATGTATCAGCTTCACTAAAATGTAATTCATATACCAGACATTTCACCCATTTTAGGTATACAAATCAGTACATTTTAGTATAGTTATAGAATTGTGCAACCATCACCACAGTTCATTTTAGAATCAGAATTTTAAAGCCCCTACGCCCTTCATCTTCCTCAGGTAACCACTAATGTCCTTTCTGTCTCTATAGAGTTGCCTCTTCTGGAGTTTCATATAAATGGAATTCATAAACATGTGGAAACTGATTTTTATATGGATATAGGAACACCAGAATATGAGTTTTCCTTTTATAAATCCATTTACTTTCCTTCCAAGGCTAGAAACAGCCAACAGTATAATTGCGGTTTGGATTTTTGTAGCAAATCTCAGTCTGACCTGTTTTCTCTTCTTTTCACAGAAGGTGACGAGGTGGGTACTGGCATAACTGATGATAATGAAGATGAAAATTCAGCCAATCAGATTGCAGGCAAAATACCCAACTTCTGTGTCCTGCTCCATGGCAGCCTAAAAGTGGAAGGAATGGTAGCAATAGTTCAACTTGGGTAAGAAATGTTGTCTTCCTTTGGTTGAGTGAAAGGGAGAATCAATAACAAAGTGAAGTTTTCCCAGACTTTTCTGAAAGAAATAGAAAGGTCCTTGTCTCCTTTTTCCTCTCCCTGCCATACCCTTCCCACCTACCATCGCCTTCTAAATTGCTCTTTAAATTATCCCCTAGAGCAGGGGTGGGGAACCTTTTTTCTGCCAAGGGCCATTTGGATATTTATAACATCATTCGGGGGCCATACAAAATTATCAACTTAAAAATTAGCCTGCTATATTTGGTCAAACATTTAATTAACTCACTCCTCATGCCTTGGCAGGACCAGACCAAATGATTTTGAGGGCCTTACAACAGCCCTTGGGCCAGACATTTTTCACCCCAACCCTAGATTAAGTTAAAAAGCCTTTTAATTATATTGTTTTTAGATTATAGAAGTTTTCTTCTATTTTATCTAGGAGCCTAGATTCAGTTATAGCAATGCTACCAACTTGCTATTAGGATCTTATGCAGTGTTCACAGACTCCTCAACTACAAAATGAGGAGGCAGAATTAAATGAAAAAAGATGCTGATAAAATTGATTGAACATTTACCATATGCCAAGCACTCCTGTAGGCTCCTTACATTCATTAACATATTTAATCTCTCACAAACACTACATAGGAGGTATTGATATTATTCCCATTTTGTAGATGAGAAACTGAGGCTTAAGAGGTCAAGGAACTTGCTCAAGTTCACATGGCTAGTAAATGGAAGAGCCAGGATTCTTACCTATGCATTTTACTCCAGAGTCCATGCTTGTAACCACTCTGCTGTATTTCTTCCCTAAGAGGAAAGCCCTTCTAGCTTCTACAATCACTGCAGGCTTGAATTTGCAAAGCTACCTGCTTCCCTTTCTGCAATACCTGTTGTTAGAAAAGAAGAGGTGACTGAGCTTTTTCTGGCCATTGCCTGGGATAGACTGATATGAGATCAGAGGAAGCATGGCTCCATTTCTGCTTGAGTTAAAATTAGTACGAAAAGAAGAATGCAGCTCTTTTTAGGTATTGGTTTGCTGTATTTCTTGGTACCCAAACTTACTTGCACTGGCTCTGAAAATGTACCTGGGACCCTTTGCGAATTGGGAGCAGAGCTGGGTGATGGCTTTGTGCCTTTTGTTACAAGGTCTTCTCTGTGTTGGTGCTGCTGTGAATGACTCATGGAGGCAGCTGAAAAGACCAATAGATCGCAGCCCTTACTCCCCACCACCCCAGCAGCTGCCTCCTGCCCTTGTAATTTTTTTCTCTTTTAAGACTGCTTTTGCCCTAGCCGTTTTGGCTCAGTGGATAGAGTATCGGCCTACAGACTGAAGGGTCCCAGGTTCGATTCCAGTCAAGGGCTCATACCTCAGTTGCAAGCTCCTCCCTGGCTGGGGCCCTGGTCAGGGCACATGCAGGAGGCAACCAATCGATATATTTCTCTCACATTGATATTTCTCGGTCTTTCCCTCTCTTCCACTCTCTCTAAAAATCAGTGGGAAAATATCCTTGGGTGAGGCTTAAAATAAATAAATAAACAGTTGCTTTTGCGTTCCATATCTACATAATTGAATAAAAATACATGTCCCAGAGGAATGGTGATATTAGGGTGCAGCAGTATGCATTTTCAGGTTTAGGATTTGGCTTTAGTAAAAGTAATATACCTGATTTCAAAGCTGAAGCTTATGCCACTCAAGAAAAAAACACAGGTTAGACTTATTTAACTTGACAGTCACAGGCTTGATATTCTGATTTTCCACCTTCTCTCCATCTAGTCCTGAATGGCATGGAATGCTCTACTCCCAAGCTGACAGCAAGAAGAAATCAAACCTCATGATGTCCCTCTTTGAGCCTGGCCCAGAACCTCTCCCATGGCTAGGGAAAATGGGACAGTTGGGTCCTATTTCAGGTATAACGCAGATCAGATTTTATTGATCTTAACTTTGTTTTCCTCTCTGCTGTTCTGAATGGCTCTGACTCTAGTCAGAGAGCTGCGTGATCTCCCTATGGGTGTGCCGTGGTCTCTGATGCTGGACATGTAAATGGAGAACCCCAAGAGAGTTTGATGTTTGAACTTTTTAACTTTATAACTCGGGAAACCATCATTTAGGTTGCTTTAATTACATATAAGCGCTCTAACTGCTTAGAGTAAAAAAGCTACTCTCCATTAACTTATTTTTCTTTAATGTAAAATTTCCTTAGTGTAATCTTCAACCCAGATAATCCCCAGTCATTCCGAGATAATGTAATCCCCTTCCTTCTTGGAACTGTTTTCCTTGGCTTTTCTAACATTGCATTTTCCTGGTACTTAACCTTTTTCTTCAGCAACTTTTCTTTTTCTGGCATCTTTTCTTCTTCTTGCCTCGTGATGTTCTTCTCTTGCATTAATATACTCTCCTGGTTATTAAATCAGACATTATAGCTTCAGAGTCCCCCAAATCTACTAGTATAACTCTAGTCCTGCTTGATCTTTCCATGGAATTTGCATATTGTATTTCCACTTCCCCTTGGACTTCTCCACCTGGATATTCTGCCACAGTCCTAAGCTCAGTATGTTTGTTATAGAAACGGTTGTCTCACCCCTTCCCTCTTAAACTGTTCCTTCTTCTGATTTTCCTACTCCTTCTGATGGAGACCTTTTACCTTTGTACTCCGAGGTACTCAGGTTCCAACTGTAGAGTCATCCTTAATTCATTTGGGCCCATGTCACTTTCAGGAACATCTACCAAGCAACCTATTTTGTGCCAGGTCTAGGGGATAAAAGAGTTAGCAAGAGTTACTCAAAGTCTAGTGGAAAGGTGAATAATAAACACAGGCTGACACAAGTCAGAGTTGGCCTACAGGAGAGGAGGATCACCTCTGCCTAGAGGACTCAGGAAAATCTCCTCACAGGACCCTGGCCAACTTTGGGGGGGGGGGGGGGGAGAAAAGACAGAGGAATTTGGTGAGCCAGTGAAGGAAGAAAGGGCATCCTGGACAAATGGAATCCTTATAGAAAAGAAAGGAGCACAAACTGTGGGGGAGGGGTTGGAAGGCCAGAGGGTAGGTTAGAGGTTGGCAGTGGCTGGAGCAGGGCAGGCCTCATCTGAAATGTGAAGAGCTGAAACTTTATTCTGCTGATATTGGAAAGCCACCAAAGGGGAGTAATATATCAGATCCTTCTGTCTATAATGAGAACTGTGGAGGTACCAGTTAGAAAACATTGTAGTCTAGGTACTAGTGCCCCCTGGTATTGTGCAATATGACCGAAAGCCACGTGAGTAATAGTAAATTTGCATTTAGAAAGATAACTGTGAAATGCGGATTTAAAAAGATGAGGACATCCTGTAGTAAGAAGTCGGCTATGATAGTCCTGGAGATGTGAAGGTGAGAGCCAGAACAAGGGGTAATGGCTGGGGACAATGGATGGGATCCAGGCAAGTCATACTAGTATTTACAAAGAAAAAGGAAAGAGAAGAATTAAGAATGATCCCAGGTTTCTGACCTGGGCTGCAGGGTAAAAGGTGTTACTATTCATTAAAACAGAGAACAGCCCTGACCGGTTTGGCTCAGTGGATAGAAAGTCGGCCTGCAGACTGAAGGGTCCCAGGTTCGATTCTGGTCAAGGGCATGTACCTTGGTTGCAGGCACATACCCAGTAGGGAGTGTGCAGGAGGGAGCTGATCGATGTTGCTCTCTCATCGATATTTCTAACTCTCTGTCCCTTCCTTTCCTCTCTGTAAGAAATCAATAAAATATATTTAAAACAAAACAAAACAGAACAGAGGAGGAAGAGTAGATTTGGGAAGAATTTCTTCTGTGCATGTAGGGTTTATGCCTATGAGATTCCGATGGAGGTGCCTAGAGACAATTCCTATATGAACCTACAGTTCAGGAGAGAAGGCAGAGTTGGAAATACAACTTTTCATTATAAGCACATCACTGATTGTTAAAATGGTGAGAATGAAGCAGATTACTTAGGGCCAAAATTTTTGTGTGCAAAAATAAACCTGGAGAACTTGTATAAAAATTCTGTTTCCTGGGCCCCCACATACAGAGATTCTGATTCAGTAGGTCTGGATTCAGGCCCAGGAACTTACAGTTTTAATATTACCTACATCATTACAATCCAGGTGATCTACACTCTATAAGAAGCTCTAGCCTTAGCAAAGTATACAGATTAAGGGAAAAAAGAGCTAAGGACCAAACCCTTAGAAAGGGACAACTATTGGGGACAGTGGAAAGGGTGCTAGTAAAGGAAAATGAGAGGGAACAGGCTGATGAAAGGGAAAGTAGAAGTGTTGTTGCAGAAGCCAAGAGAATAGAGAGACTCAAGAAGGAAGTCCAGTGTGTCGTACACTTGTGCATGCTTGTCAGCTGAGCTCCACGGATGCCTTTTGCCATTGAAGCCTAGAGAAGATTTGGACTAAATATAGGCCCAGATGGTAGGCCAAGGTTCAGCAAGCTTTTTCAGGAAAAGAACAAGATAGTAAATATTTTAAGCTTTGCAGACCGTATGGCCTCTGTCAGAACTACTGAGCTCTGCCATTGTAGCACAATATGTGCATAAATGATAGTGACTGTATTCCAAAAAATGTTACTTATGGACACCAAAATTTGAATTTTATATAATTTTCATGTATATTTCATGAAATATTATTCTCTTGATTTCTTTGCCCAGCATTTAAAAACATAAAAACCATTCTTAACTCAAAAACAGGCAACAGGCCATAGTTTGCCTACTTTTGAGCTAGGATCCAGGGGCTGGGGTTTTAAAGCTCACGGTGGGACAGGAGACATGACTTTGGTTCCAAACAAGACAAAGAATTGAGCTCTGTGAGTAAAGCTGAGAATGTGGAAGGTCTACCCTCTCAGTGAGAGGATGGCAAGAAAAATTCTACACATTTTTCTTCTACCCACTTTTCTGGATAGAAAGAAATTTAAAAGTCTTCTCTGAGAAATTGAAGCCCGAGCCCTGCGCCATGCAGACGGACACTGCCCATTCTGAAATGGGGATTTCTAAAACCAACAATACAGACCTGGTTCTGAAGCAGTGCAACCTTGGTGCGTCCTCCAGAAGGCCATACAGTGGCTCTGTAGGGACACCCCTACAGCCCAGGGCAAAAGGACTTCCACAGAAAACCCCCGCTGACGATGAGGTCATGATTTGAAAAGCAGTTTCCAAATCATGAGAGGATTTTATCTCCTTTGAAGGAAGGCCAACAGAGTGACCAGCCTCCTGAGAACTAAATCTGAAACACACTGTGGAATGAGTGTTTTAAAGATTGAAGAGTTTTAGGAAGGACCAGAAACCATGAGGAAAGAAGAGGACACTATAAATCAGGAGTCATTTGATCTTGACAGGAAATGATTGGTGGCTTCATAAAAGTAGCTTCAGTAGATAGTTAGCCAGGACATAGGTTGAGGAGTGAATTAGATATGAGGAAATGAAGATGACAAGTTTGGCCACCAACAGTTGGACGAGAACACAAGGGCAGAGGAAGTGCGTGTGCGTGTGCAACGATTCCTCACCTTCATCTAGACTCTCTAGCATCCTTACATTCATTCTGCCTTTCATTCTCGCTGCTCTTGCCTTGTTCTGGCTTTCTTTACCTTTCACTTAGGTCAGAGGTCAGCTAACTATGGCCTGCAGGTCAAACTAGCCACTGTCTGTTTTATAAGTAAAGTTTTATTACAAATGGCACACTCATTCCTCTCGTATTGTCTATGGCTGCTCTCCTGCTCCAGTGGCAGAGTAGAGTAGTTATAACAGAGACCATATCACCCACAAAGCCCTTTACAGAAAAAGTTTGCTCACCCCTGGCCTAGGCTATTGTGATAGTTTTCACCACAGATGCCTGTCCATAATCTAAGATAGTAGCATTCACATTTCTTTCTGATCTGGCTTCCAGCCAGCAGTGCTTGGTTGGAACAACATGCATTCTTCATTCAAATTGGACTGCTGTTTACTCTGCCTTATATTCAAGTTATTATTTTCCTCCCTCTGGGTCTGTTCTTCTTTTCAATGAAGGTAATAAGAGCTTTTTTTTTTTTTTTTAATTTAAAAGGTTTATTGAAAGTGTTGCTTTGTTATACCTGAAGCTTTCCCTTTGTTTGGTTTCTAGTTACCTTCAGTTAGAATAGCAGTGATCACTAGGTACAATACTGGTTCCATATACAAGTCCAAATATCATGCATACAAATATGTTTTGTTGTTTTTTTATTGTCTAAAGTTTTACATATGTCTCCTTTTTCCCCAATTGACCCCCGCCCCCACCTCCCCTGCCATCTGTCTCTGGATCTATTCTTGTTCATCAAATTATGTTGATCATTATATCCCACATATGAGTGAGATCATGTGATATTTATCTTTCTCCAACTGGCTTATTTAGCTTAGAATAATGCTCTCCAGTTCCATCCATGCTGTTGCAAATGGTAAAAGTTCCTTCTTTTTTATAGCGGCGTAGTATTCCATTGTGTAGATGTACCACCATTTCTTAATCCACTCATCTGCTGGTGGGCACTTAGGCTGTTTCCAAATCTTAGCTATTGTAAATTATGCTGCTATGAACATAGGGGTGCATATATCCTTTCTGATTGGTGTTTCTGGTTTCTTGGGATATATTCCTAGAAGTGGGATTACTGGGTCAAATGGGAGCTCCATTTTTAACTTTTTGAGGAAACTCCATATTAGCTTCCACAGTGGCTCCACCAGTCTGCATTCCCACCAGCAGTGCACGAGGGTTCCTTTTTCTCCACATCCTCGCCAGCACTTGTCGTTTGTTGATTTACTGATGATAGCCGTTCTGACAGGTGTGAGATGGTACCTCATTGTTGTTTTGACTTGCATCTCTTGGATGATTAGTGACTTTGAGCACGTTTTCATATGTCTCTCAGCCTTCTGTATGTCCTCTTTTGAAAAGTGTCTACTTAGGTCCTTTACCCATTTTTTGATTGGATCGTTTATCTTCCTTTTGTTAAGTTGTATGAGTTCCCTGTAAATTTTGGAGATTAAACCCTTATCGGTGATAACATTGGCAAATATGTTCTCCCATGCAGTGGGCTTTCTTGTTTTGTTGATGCTTTCTTTTGCTGTGCAGAAGAAGCTTTTTATTTTGATGTAGTCCCATTTGTTTATTTTCTCCTTAGTCTCCATTGCCCTATGAGCTGTGTTGGTAAAGTTATTGCTACAACATATGTCTGATATTTTGCTGCCTATGGAGTCTTGTAGGATTTTTATGGTTTCCCATCTTACATTTAAGACCTTTAGCCATTTTGAGTTTGTTTTTGTTTATGGTGTAAGTTGATGATCTAGTTTCATTTTTTTGCATGTATCTGGCCAAATTTCTCAGCACCATTTATTAAAGAGACTGTCTTGACTCCATTGTATGCTCTTAACTCCTTTGTCAAATATTAATTGAGCATAATGACTTGGGTTGAAAAATATGTGTTATTTTGTAATTACTTATTTTTAAAGAGTGTGACTTTGCTATCTTATTAAGGATACTACTATCTAGTTCCTTCTTGAAAAAAATCAGAATTCTTGGTAAAACAACTTAAATTATTTTTCTTTCATATGTCTGTTTAATACACACGCACACACACACACACACACACACACACACATATATTTCAGAGAGGAAGGGAGAGGGAGAGAGAGAAAAAAATCAGTGATATGAGAGAATATTTGATTGGCTGCCTCCTGTACGCCCCCTACTGGGGATCGAGCCTACAATCCTGGTATGTTCCCTGACCGAGAATTAAACTATGACCTCCAGTTCATAGGCCAATGCTCAACCACTGAGCCACACCAGCTGGGCTCATATGTCTGTTTTTATGTAGATATTCTTTTCATCAGATTATTTATTCACTTGATTCTTAGATTCACTTGTTGATAGATGCATATTTGTTGTTCATAATTTGTATCTTTACCTTTTTCTTCCTCTTCCTCTTCTTAAAGGATACCTTTCAGCATTTCATATAATCCTGGTTTGGTGGTGATGAACTCCTTTAGCTTTTCCTTATCTGTGAAGCTCTTTATCTGACCTTCAATTCTGAATGATAGCTTTGCTGGATAAAGTAATCTTGGTTGTAGGTTCTTGGTATTCATCACTTTGAATATTTCTTGCCACTCCCTTCTGGCCTACAAAGTTTCTGTTGAGAAATCAGCTGACAGTCATATTGGTATTCCCTTGTAGGTAACTGAGTTTCTTTCTCTTGCTGTTTTTAAGATTCTCTCTTTATCTTTTGCTCTTGGCATTTTAATTATGATGTGTCTTGGTGTGGTCCTCTTTGGACTCCTTTTGTTTGGGGTTCCCCGCGCTTCTTGGACCTGTAAGTCCATTTCTTTCACCAGGTGGGGGAAGTTTTCTGTCATTATTTCTTCAAATAGGTTTTCAATATCTTGCTCTCTCTCATCTTCTGGCACCCCTATAATTCTGATGTTGGTACGCTTGAAGCTGTCCCAGAGGCTCCTTACACTATCCTCGCATTTTTGGATTCTTTTTTCATTTTGCTTTTCCGGTTGGGTGTTTTTTGCTTCCTCGCATTTCAAATCATTGACTTGATTCTTGCGCTCCTCTGGTCTGCTGTCGGGAGTCTGTATAATATTCGTTATTTCAGTCCGTGTATGCTTAATTTCTAGTTGGTTCCCCAATATAACATCGAGGGTCTCATTAGTTTTCTTGTAGATCTCATTAAGTTTATCGGCGGCTACTAAACAGTTCTTGAGAGACCTTAAAAGTGTGGTTCTGAACTCTATATCTTCCATTGACAATTTTGTCCTGTTTCTTTGTCTCCGCATTTTGTTATGCTTCCTTGGTGCACCCCCTAGTGGTCTTTGTGCGCAGTCTTATAGTTAAATCTTGATTGTTGTAGCTAATTCCAGGGAGGGTTTGACCTCCAGGCCAAGTGGCTATGAGAATCAGCTGTGTCAGCAGTGAGAGAACTTCTGTCCTCTAGGGAGGTGCTAATCTAGCCTTTGCCTGAGGCTATCCAGCAAATGCCTGTGTGCAGGGCTTGGGCGGGGCGGTCGCACAGGATCAACAGGGTGGGCCGGAGAGAGCAGTTATGGCGGCTCTTAGTCCTGTCCCCAGGGGCTCTGCCTCTCTGAGTCCCAGCACCCGCTGCAAAGCTCGGAGAGAAAGCTGCACTCGCTCTGACCGAAGCCAGACAGTCCCGCTTCTCCCGTTTGAGTCTTGGTCCCTAAAAACTGGCCCAGATCTGGAGCTCAGAGTCTGCGACTCCCTCCGGATTGAAAACGCCAACCGCGCCCTCCGCCGCCAGCCCGCTCCACGCACTCCGCACCTCAGAATTTGACTTCAGCACTGCGCCTCCTCTGAGTGTCCGTATGCGTTTCTCTTTCCTCCTAGTTGTAGGACTTCCACTCAGCCAGCGTTCCTGTGGTTCTGGGTGATGTCCCTTCCGTTTTTTGGTTTCACTTTTGAAGTAGTTGTTCAAAGCAGCAAACTCCGGCGTTAACCTATGCCGCCATCTTGGTTCTCCTATGTAGATATTCTTTACAGCTTATCTGCAAAGAAGATAGATTTGCCCTGACCAGTTTGGCTCAGTGGCTAGAGCGTCGGCCTGTGGACTGAAGAGTCCCACCAGGGCATGTACCTTGGTTGCGGGCACATCCCCAGCTGATCAATGTTTCTCTCTCATGGATGTTTCTAACTCTATCCCTCTCCCTTCCTCTCTGTAAAAAATAAATAAAATATATTTTAAAAATTTCAAAAAAAAGGAAGATAGATTTTATTTTATTTTATTGATTAATACTCACCTGAGGATATTTTTTCCATTGCTTTTCAGAGTGGAAGGGAGGAAGGGAGAGAGAAACATTGATGTGAGAGACACACATCAACTGGTTGCCACCGCACCCACCACCCACATGCACTCTGACCGGGGTGGGGATCAAACCTGCAACCCAGGTACAAGCCCTTGACCAGGAATTGAACCCATGACCCTTAAGTGCTTGGGCCATCGTTCCAACCACTGAGCAACACTGGCCAGGGCAGAAGATGAATTTTGCAAAGCAATGGAAAGATATGGTATCTTAGGAATTAGTACTTCTCTCTCTAAAGTCATTTTATCTTAAATGCCTAATTTAAAAATTAGATTTCTCATTTGCTTTAGCAAGTACTTTTTAAAAAATATTTCTGAGTCTTTTTTTCTTCAGTGCACTCTGTTAAAAAGTTCTGATTCCATTGTTTTAGATACATTATATCAGTTCATTTGGGTAAGAAAAACTAATTTCTTCAGCATGCACATTAGTATTTGTCTGGAGTTAAAAATATTTCAATGAAATGTCTATTTTGACTTTGGGCAACACCCATAGTAACCTTTAGTATATCATGCTACAATTCTATAATAGGTGTGTCAGGTTCTCTCCAATAGACTTGAGAAACATGATTATCATCTTAGAGCAGCTTTTGAAGTATCTTACCTTCAGAAATTCTCTCTCTTCCTCCCTTCCTCTCTACTTTTTTCTCTTTCTCTCTCTATATACATATACATATATCATACGTACATACTATTAGGTTATTATAATTTGAGTATATAGTAAGAGCTAACATTTTTATTGAACTTAACTTTGTCCCCGGCACTGTGCTAGGCACAATGAAATGTATAATCTCATTTTATTCTCATAATAGTCTTATGAGGTTGGAATTGTCATTATGGTAACAAGTAATAATTGATAATAAAACCTGCCTTAGAGGTTTGTTGAGAGAATTTATTGAGGGGAATAAGTATAAAGTTTCTGCCACAGTAGACACATAATAATGGGCAAAGGATTTAAGCTCCCTGCCTGGTTGGGAAAATGATTCCTGTTCTGTCTACCCCAGAAGGTGGTAACAATAATGACAAGCCAGTAGATGTAAGTACGCCCTGTAAGTTTGTGGCAGTTTCATTGGCTCAGGAAGCAGGTAGAAAACAGGAACCCTTGTTTATTCACATAGCTATAAAACCAATATGGCTTTAATCCTTTAGAAGCAATAAACTAATAAACCATAATAAGGTGGGGTATGTTTCACCAAAAAGTACTTCCCTTGCCCCTTTTCTTAATTTGACTATATATAATTTCCTTTTTAATTTTCCCAGTGTCTATACCTATGCTCTCTAATCCAGTAGCCACTAGCCACATGAGGCTATTTAATTAAACAAAATGTAAAATTCAGTACCTCAGTCACACTAGCTACACAAAAGTGTCTGTGGCCACATGGGCTAGTGGCTGTCATTCTGTCATCGCAGACAGTTCTGTTGGAAAATGCTAGTCTAAGCTATACAGAGTTTTAGTTTGTTTATTTTTTAAAATAGTACATTAGTATTATTGTATGTATTTGTTTTATCTTCTCTGACTTTAATTCATAAAGCAAATAATAAGTAAAGCTTGTTTCTAAAAAACATCAAGCTGTTTTTCACTTACATGGGCCTTAGTTGATTGTTTGGTCTCTTACATCAGTGGCATTTTATTGAGAACAAGATCCCCAACCTGACTGAAGTTAATAGATTTTCTTAATTAGGGAAGTAACAGGATATAGAAGATTGAATGATTTCAAAGTGCTTCTAGCCTAATTGGAAATGTAATTGATTGTGTTCTGCCAGATGTCATTTCAAGAATGTCTTTTTCTTTTAAGATGCAAAAGAAAACCCTTACGGTGAGGATGACAATAAGAGCCCATTCCCCCTGCAGCCCAAAAACAAACGCAGTTATGCCCAGAACGTGACTGTCTGGATCAAACCCAGTGGCCTGCAGGTAATATTACCGTTCACATTGCTTTCCACTGGGGACAGGAGGAGGGATTCTGGCAGGCAGGCAGGCAGACATTTGATCTGATTTTCCTTCCCTTTGATACTTACTAATTCATTTACTTCTAATGTGTGTCATTATTTCCAAAAAGGATTTGAGGTGGCCTACGGTAAAAAATGTATACAGCAAAATCATTTTTTACAAAATTTAGAGCAATACAAAACCTAGAGGAAGAGGGGAGACAATTGTTCTGGGAACCCATGGCAAAATAATTGTATTGAACAATTTGGCTCTGAGCTCCCAAGGTCAAAAAAGAAACAGGTAGGGTTTTATGTTATAGAGGGTTATATGTCTGATTAAAGGAAGTATGTTAGTTTTTCTAGAGAGACACATTTCCTTGGCATTGAATTTTAATGTGAAATTTTGGACATGCTGAGACATTGAATAATATAATGGGTGTTATCTTTAACAACAATTTCGAGAATGATGTAAAAATCTTCATATGGTTATTTCTTCCATTTCCACAGTAGAGCCCAAACCATAGCATTACACTGTAATTCCACAAAAACACTTTCATGGGAAGCTGCGAGTAGATTATTACCAAGGTATGCTACTTTCAGGCAAGGTACTGAGTGACATTTCTTCTTCCAAAAAGTCCTTTGTACCTATTTTTTAAAATCACTTTTGAGCCTTTGTTCTCATTTAAGTGGCTTTTCTTCCTTTGTTCCTCCAATGAATCCAGCTTAAGCCAGAAGAGAAGAGGTAATCAGGCCACGTGACAACAGAAGTGGCTTCTGTTGATGGCATAGTCACCCTTTTCACAGAGGCTGGACACATCCTGCCACGGCTAAGGGAAGAGAGGTCTCTTCACTTTGTGGAGAAATCAGGTTCTCCCTCTTTCCTATCACCCCTGACCTGAGCACTTCCCTATTGGAGGGATAGCTGATTTTTCCCTCCTAATTTTTCTAAAATTATTTAAAAATTTTTATTTTAGGCTAAGTGTATTTTTTTTTATTGTGATGAAATACACATAACATTTACCATTTCAACCATTTTTAAATAATGCCATTCAGTGGCATTTTGTATAATCACAATGTTATTCAACCACTACTACTATCTAGTTCCAGAATATATTATCACCCCAAAAGGAAACCCTGTACCCATTAAGCAAGTCACTCTATTTTCCCATCTTCCCCCAGCCCTTGGCAACCACTAATCTGCTTTCTGTCTCTTTGGATTTGCCTATTCTGGATATTTCATATAAATGGAGTCATATAACATGTGGCCTTTCTGGTTTGGTTTCCTTCCACTAAGCACAGTGTCAGTGTTCATTCATGTTGTAGCATACATCAGTACTTTTCCTTTTGGTGGCTGAATAATATTCCATTATATAACCATGCCACATTTTGTTTATCCATTCATTCAGTTGATGGCATTTGGATCGTTTCTACCTTTGTGCTATTCAGAATAATGCTGCTATGAAAATTCAACAAATTAATTTTTTTCTTAAGGTGCTGTACTGTTGTAACTAAGAAATCATAGCCAAACCCAAGGTCAGGAAGGTTTGCTCTTGTTTTCTTTTAAGAGTCTGAGGTGTAAGAGTTTTAGCTCTTGCATTTAGGTCTCTGATACATTTTGATTTACTTTTTTGGTGTGAAGTAAGGGTCCAACTTCATTCTTTTCTATGTGTCTATCTAGTTGCCCTAGCACCATTTGTAGAAGAAACTATTCTTACCCCATTGAATGGTCTTGGCAACCTTGTCAAAAAAGCAGCTGGCCATATATATAATTACTTGGTGTGTTTTTGTGAGACAAGTTAATTTCTGTCACCAAGGGATTTATTATCAAGCACTTTGAAGGAGGGAGGTGCTGTACTAATATTGAACAGAACAGTGACATTAGTGACATTAATTCAGAAGGGATCCTCATTTTGACACTGCAGCTCTATTCATATTTTCATTTCTTTAAACATTTAGAGCCAACCTTTTGTATTCTTTCCCCTTTACCACAGAAATCTAATGTTGAATTTGCTTTATCCTTGATAGACAGATGTACAGAAGATTTTAAGAAATGCAAGGAAATTACCTGAAAAAACACAGACGTTCTATAAGGTGAGACTATCAGAATTACACAGTGGAAGAGGGTGAGTCCTGGGATGGGTGCCAAAAATAAATGGTTCACCACAGTTAGTGTAGGGTCATAGAGTGAACATGGACAGGTGTTAGAAATAGATGGCTTGTGCTTCAGTTTTTTCCATCAGTAAAGTCAGTAGAAGTGATAGGTCCATTTTGCCCTAAAATCCAAGAATTAGAAGTGCTTAAATGGCCTGGTTCTGTGCAGAAGGGCTTCTCTGTGTTGGTGCTGCTATGACTGGCTAAAGGAAGGAGCGGAAAGGACCTTAACCCTCATAGCCCTTAACCTTTTCACCATTCCCATGTGAGTATCCAGCCTAACCCCAGGCTACCATTGTATGTGACTTCCTGGGATGGTGATTGCCCAGGACATTCTTACTGTACCAGAAAATCTGCTCCCAGGAATGACTTCTAAAATTGCACATTTATGAATTGCAAAGGATGGCCCTCAGGAATCATACCTAGCTAATTCAGAACCATTGGTGGAAGGAATAAAGTTACAAGGGGTGAGGTGGAGTGTGGGGCCTTTAAGCTCACTCATTTCTCCCCTGTCCTTCTGGTGTTTGGCTGAAATCAAATTAAGTAGCAGTGTGCGGTATGCTGTTGTCAGTTGTATCCTAGTTTGCTAAGCTTAAAATGTGGACACACAGACAGCCCTAGGCTAGCATTTCTTCCAGAGAACATACATGCTACTTTGTCTGGATGTTATTTCATTACCTTTATGTCACTGTTGTCTTCAAACCTAATTATGTAGTGAGCTGGTGAAATCAAGGAAGAGCAACCTTAATCAGAGTTCAACACCAGCAAGCTGGCCAGCCTGCCATGCCCCCTAACTGAAAGCCAGCTCACACAGGCCCTTGGTGACCATTCTGGCTGTGGTCCTTCTTCCTGCAGAGCTTTCTACACACAATCATCAGCTTCTATTCAAGATGACACACTTGTACTTTGGCCTTTTCAACTTTTCACTTATTTAACAGATGATAGAGAAGTGGTCAGAAAGCCCATTTCTCTTTTCTGGATTTATATAATCCCACATATCACAGCTGGAAAGGGCCTCTACCAGGCAATTGCTTCAGCCCCCGCAGTGGGCAGGGAAGAGGTTATCGTTCTCACTTTGTAAATGAGGCCACTGAGACCCAGTGAGGCTATACACATTGCCCAGATCACGCTGCTAAGTGTGCTAAGTGGTTGATGGGGCACTTCCTATTTCTCTGCTTCCATTCACTACCCCACTTTTTTTTTTTTTTTTTTTTTCTAGAGAGAGAAAGAAGCATTGATGTGAGAAAAATATCTATCGGCTGCCTCCTGCACACTCCCCACCTCGGATCGAGGCCCAAACCCGGGCATGTGCCCTGACCAGGAATCAAACTGGCAACCTTTTGGTGCATAGGTCAATGCCCACCCAACTGAACCACACCAGCCCAGATCCACCTTTCTTTTTGTGGCTATCTTTTGGTCAGGCTGCTGACCCCTCCAGAGCCTCCTCCAGTGTGTTCATTGTCGTTCAGCAGGAGAGGCTGAGAGCCCTCTGAGGTTTGGGATGAGCCTTTTCCATACCTGAGTAACAGGAAAAGTAAAACCTCCTTAGAGTTATGAGTAAATGAAATGATGTATGCGAAGTGCCTCACACATTTGCATGAGTGCTCATTAACTGTGGTGGTGATGACCTGTTTCAGTCAGTGTCTTTCTTACCGAGCTTTCTCATCACCTACAGAGGAACTGCTTCTCTGTTATGTCATCACACTCTCATTACAGAGTCCCTAGGCGATCAAGGCCAATCCGGGGCCTTCCAGCTGCCGGCCAGGGCCTCCCTCCCCAAGCTGCCGGCCAGGGCCTTCCTTCGTTCCGCGCCGCCCCCTGGTGGTCAGCGTTCGTCATAGCGAGCAATCGAGCTCCTGATCTCCCAGTTGAACTCCTGAGGGGACACTGCATATTAGCCTTTTATATAGAGAGATGCTCACTTAGGTTTGGGGGTCAATGAGAGCTTATTCTAAGTTGAGCACTTAGAAAGTATGTACTCATTCCAGACAGAGAAATGGCTGACTAGCTCGGTCAGGAAGTCAACAAGATGGAAGAAGATGAAGTGGGAGTAGAAATCAGTCAAGAAGTGGGGCCAGGCCAGTGTGGCTCAGTGGTTGAGCATCCACCTGAACCAGGAGGTCATGGTTTGATTCCCAGTCATGGTACATACTCGGGTTGTGGGCTCAACCCCCAATAAGGAGGGTGCAGTAGGCAGCTGACCAATGATTCTCGCTCATCGTTGATGTTTCTCTCTCTCTCTCTCTCTCCCTTCCTCTCTGAAACCAATAAAAATATATATTTTTAAAAGTGGAGACCACAAATGGAGCTTTGAGAATTTGATAGTCTACCAGTGTACATAATTTCTGCCTAATTATGTACATTAATCAGCAAAAATTAGGTCATCATAGTTGAGGTATATGTGTGCTATTTGCAGATAAAAGGTGGTTGTATTTTCTTAAAAAGTATTTCGCAAGAATGGTTTTAAACAAGAATGGTTTTGCCGAAACCGGTTTGGCTCAGTGGATAGAGCGTCAGCCTGCGGACTGAGAGGTCCCAGGTTCGATTCCGGTCAAGGGCATGTACCTGGGTTGCGGGCATATCCCCAGTGGGAGATGTGCAGGAGGCAGCTGATCGATGATTCTCTCTCATCGATGTTTCTAACTCTCTGTCTCTCTCCCTTCCTCTCTGTAGAAAATCAATAAAATATATTAAAAAAACAAAACAAAAAAAAAAAAACAAGAATGGTTTTAAACAAGAATGGTTTTAAATCTACTTATCCAGTTATACCTTTGAATAAAAACCTTTTAGCCAGAAAGTTCTGCTCAGTGGTTAGAGCATCGGTTCTCAGACTGAAGGATATTGGGTGTAATTCCCGGTCAAGCGCATGTATCTCAATTGCAGATTAGATCCCCACCCCAGTCAGGGCATATGTGGAAGGCAACCAGTTGATGTGTCCCTCTCACATGGATGTTTCTCTCTAACCACTCCTCCCCCCCTCACCCAATCACTTTCACTCTAAGAATCAATGGGAAAAGTATCCTTGGGTGAGAATTTAAAAAAAAAAAAAAGGTTTTTGGTGTGTTTTTTTAATATGTGATAAGGAAATTGCATTTTAGGAACATTCATGTTTTTTTATCTTATTTCAGGAACTGAACCGTTTACGAAAGGCTGCCCTGGCCTTTGGTTTCCTGGACCTGCTCAAAGGAGTGGCTGACATGCTGGAAAGGGAGTGCACGCTGCTGCCCGACACCGCCCACCCCGATGCAGCCTTCCAGCTGACCCACGCTGCCCAGCAGCTCAAGCTGGCCAGTACTGGCACCTCCGAGTACGCCGGCTACGACCACAACATCACACCTTTGCAGACAGACTTCTCCGGGAGCAGCACTGAAAGAATGTAAAGCTGACTTTGGGAGCCTTCCTTCCTTCTCATTTTAAGTCCAAATGATTTCGGGTAAAAACTTCTCCAGGGTGTTCACCTCTGCAGCCACCACCTGAAGACCTCCCTGAGGCTGCCTCAGAAGCACCCCTTGCTGGTTTGAGTGGCTGCAACTGTCCGAGAAGGGCTTTGACCTTCTTTGTAAGCTCTTTCAGCCCAGAAGACACCTGTGGCTCCCGTAATGGGTACATCTTCTGAGAAGCTTGATGGTGTGATGGGTACAGAGCTCTCTCCCTTCCTCAGGAAACCTAACCCACAGGGGTCCTCTGGCTTTCTGAAAGGCATCTTCTCTCCTCTCAATCATAAGGACATTTTCAAGATTCTGCCCTTGGAATGAGCAACCCAGACTGGGACTAGCTAAGGACAAGCCCTACACCACTAAGTTTCGGAACTTTTCTTAGAACTTGGGCAAAACTTAGTGGTAACACTTAGGTGCTTTTGGTATGTCTTGAGATACAGACTTTTAAACAGCAGCCATAAATGTAAAAAAATTATTCCCATTTCTTCAAGCTTTGTTTTTTAATGAAAAAGTATTTGATTTTCTATAAAATGGTTTCACTGGTAAATTAATGAGTCTTTGTCTTTTGGTCTGTCCTGTCTGGATATAATTTCAGCTTTCTGTGCGGCAGATTCATAAATCATGAGGGTTTCTTGGGTTCCATACTGACTTCCTTGTTTCCGACACCTGTTAGGCCTCATTGCCTACGCCAAGTTCCATTCAGGTAGATTCTGACAGGTCACTGCAGTTAGCTCCCCTTCCAATTCATCAGCTAGCTTCATGACATTGGGCAAGTCCTGTAGCTTCTCTAGGTTTTACTTATATTATCAGTGTTTTTCAAATTGCTCTGTGGACCACCTAAAGCAGCGGTCGCCAACCGATGGTCCGTGGACCACTGGTGGTCCGTGAGGTCCGAAAGGTTGGCGACCGCTGGCCTAAAGTATTACTCCCTCGGGCTTCAACCTGAGCATCTACTTTTGGTTTAACATGCTGAACTGCTATATAATATTTTGTCTGGAAAAAGGACTTTATCACTAACAATTTGAAGACCAGTAGAGTAAATAAATGATCTTTAAACACAATTAGGACTTTGACTGTAAATGTTTAATAGAAATACACAATCTTTTGCTTTCTCAGACAGCAACAAAAAGGCTTGTAATAATGTAAGATTCTGCCACAGATGCAGTATAATCTGCTGCAAAGCTAATCTGCAATAATTACACACAGAAACTCAGGTGAAAGAATATCAGAAGTTAATACAAACAAGTATTGACAGAAGTTACAGACATGCAAAATATCCTTCAGTGCAATGAACTTATAAAAAAAATCAGCCAGCCTATGCTAATCATAGGTTTTTAGGTCAAACCAAGTTTCAATCTTGGGCTCAGAGAAACAGCATAGCTCATTTAATCCCTTTTTCCTCAGGAACAATGGGAATGGCACAATTGAGCAATTGTGCCTTAAATTCTTTCATACAAGCATTACTTCTAACACATTTTGCTTGGAATGTGGAAGAAATTGATGTTTTTCACAATGGCCAAACTTCATAATGCCTACATTTTTTTCAGTTCCTCTGTTGGTGGGTTTCCTGCCAGGAGTCTGTGTTAATGGACCAGCTGGTGATTCTCTAGCCAATGCTCTCTGTTCACTGTCCTACTTCAGAGGTGAAACAGCAGAATAAAAGGTGTTTTGAGGTCTACTGAAAAACAAACAATCCCACCACTTACTCTGACAGGTACACAAATGGACTTACCCAGGTCAGGGGAAAGAAGCTGGAGTTATGTGTGTGCACAGCCTAAGGCAGTTTTGCAGGTGTGTTTAGACTGGCCTAGTCTAGTGTTTCCAGTTTGCTACAGGCTGCACTGCAGGCAGCTGTCTTGTGGCCAGTCTGACCTTTCTGACCCCTGTAACCATTTGGGGTTGGAACTCCTATAATTTCATTATTTTCTAACTCATGTTTCATCTTTCTTTAAAGTTGAAAATAGTTCTGATTTATCTTGGAATGAAGTAAGTGATCATGGTGTTCCAAGGTTCTGACTGGTTTCTCTCAAATCATTCTGTGTCCACACAGGTAAGCACTGTATAGTAACAGATATTGTTAGAGAGGCCAAGAAATTCAGAGGTAATATGAGTTCTCAAGGCCCACTTGGACTCAAATGTTTTATCAGTGACTGAGTCAAACAGATTTTCAAAAAATCAATGCCACTCCACTTATTAAGTAACCCTTTGGGTACAGAATATATTAGGTCCTGCCTAGGTCACTTTCACAGGCTCCTATAGAGCAAAACAGTCTTGTTTTTCTTCCACAATCAATAGCTGAAAAGAACAAATTCCAGCTGTAAGAATGGCCAGTACCTAGTAGGTTCAGGGCACTGATGAAATCTCTGGCTTGTGTAAAACAGACTGGACACGGAGTGGGTGGGGACAGGGCTGTCTGATGTCACTAACAGATTACAAAAGAACAAACCTGTCATCAGATATCATGCAAGTACTACACTAAGATAATACAATAAATTCAGGATGTAACTGGGGAAAGGGGAAGATAGCCTTACTGAGAATTTAATCATTTAACGTTAAAAAAAACTTTTACATCAGTACAAGAAGGTAAAACTGTAAGAATTATAGATTAGGCTCAAAAGTCTACATGGCAAGAAGTCATCTAAATCTCTTTTCAGTGGATTTTCTTCTTTTTTTGTCCATAGTGCCGCCTGCGCTGTTTATAAAGATGACGGAAATTTATGTATAACCCTGAAAAAGAAAAGAGGCCAATTAGACATGAAAATCTTTGTCCTGTTTATAACGAGAAGCTCTTGGGCAGGGACAGTCTAGTTGGCTGTTTTTCATACCCCTCTGTGCTTACTGCAGCTGCTCAGGAAGTACGATTCAGTAACAAGTTAGTAACAATGCACTAGAGACCACTCAAATTTCTCCCAGTGGGTTTACAATTTCACTTTCTCCCATATTTTATTATAATTTTCAAACATACAAAAAAGATTAAGTTGTACAGTAAATACCATCTAGATTAAACTTTAACTCTATTACATTTTTTTATCACATATCCATTCCCATCTAATTTTTTATGTTTTTCAGTAAAAGTTACAGACATCAATATCCCTAAACATTTTCTTAGAGTTCACAATATTTTTCTCCCAATTTCTTTTCAAGTAAGACTTACATAAAATACACAAATCTGAAGTATAGAAACAACCCAATTTTTAATTCAAGGCTATGCAATAAACTGTATTAAGCAATAGTTTAAAAGGTGGGGGGGGGGGAGTACTAGGGGGTAAGGACACATATGTAATACCTTAATCAATAAAGAAATTAAAAATAAAATAAAAGGTGGGGGATACTTTTCTAGGAAGCACAAACTTCTCATTTAGAAAATACAGGATTTCAGCCCAGCCAGCATGGCTCAGTGGTTGAGCATCAACCTATGAACCAGGTCACCGTTCAATTCCCAGTCAGGGCACGTGCCCAGGTTGTGGGCTCGATCACCAGTATGGAGCGTGTAGGAAGCAGCCAATCAATGATTCTCATTTTTGCTGTTTCTATTTCTCTCTCCCTTTCCCTGCCTCTCTGAAATCAATAAAAAAATATTTTTTTAAAAAACAACACAGGATTTCAGTCAGAAAGAACAAATTTCAGTTCTACTTCACCACTGTGGCTTAGCCTCACTTCAGTTTCCTCATTGTGCGGCAGAGTTAAAAACACTTATTTCACAGGCTGATTGTGAGAGAACACAGGTTTAGAAAAGCACTTTGATCTATATACAAATGTAACTGGTTGTTATTACTGCTTCTAAATTATGCAGATTTAGGATTTATTTCATTCTGAAGAAGAACAACTGCATATTCATTGTAGGCAAACTAGATATGAGTATAAAACCTTAAAAATTAACATAAGCAACATGAAAAAAGCCACTAAGGTTAGTGCACAATAAAATACTTCTACCTTTCAGAGAACCAAGATGGCGGCATAGGTTAACGCCGGAGTTTGCTGCTCTGAACAACTACTTCAAAAGTGAAACCAAAAAACGGAAGGGACATCACCCAGAACCACAGGAACGCTGGCTGAGTGGAAGTCCTACAACTAGGAGGAAAGAGAAACGCATACGGACACTCAGAGGAGGCGCAGTGCTGAAGTCAAATTCTGAGGTGCGGAGTGCGCGCAGCGGGCTGGCGGCGGAGGGCGCGGTTGGCGTTTTCAATCGGGAGGGAGTCACAGAATCTGAGCTCCAGATCCGGGCGAGTCTTTAGGGACCCAGACTCAAACGGGAGAAGCGGGACTGTCTGGCTTCGGTCAGAGTGAGTGCAGCTTTCTCTCTGAGCTTTGCAGCGGGTGCTGGGACTCAGAGAGGCAGAGCCCCTGGGGACAGGACTGAGAGCCGCCATAACTGCTCTCTCCGGCCCACCCTGTTGATCCTGTGCGACCCGCCCCGCCCAAGCCCTGCACACAGGCATTTGCCGGATAGCCTCAGGCAAAGGCTAGATTAGCACCTCCCTAGAGGACAGAAGTTCTCTCACTGCTGACACAGCTGATTCTCATAGCCACTTGGCCTGGAGGTCAAACCCTCCCTGGATTTAACTACAACAATCAAGATTTAACTATAAGACTGCGAACAAAGACCACTAGGGGGTGCACCAAGGAAGCATAACAAAATGCGGAGACAAAGAAACAGGACAAAATTGTCAATGGAAGATATAGAGTTCAGAACCACACTTTTAAGGTCTCTCAAGAACTGTTTAGAAGCCGCCGATAAACTTAATGAGATCTACAAGAAAACTAATAAGACCCTCGATCTTATATTGGGGAACCAACTAGAAATTAAGCATACACGGACTGAAATAACGAATATTATACAGACTCCCGACAGCAGACCAGAGGAGCGCAAGAATCAAGTCAATGATTTGAAATGCGAGGAAGCAAAAAACACCCAACCGGAAAAGCAAAATGAAAAAAGAATCCAAAAATGCGAGGATAGTGTAAGGAGCCTCTGGGACAGCTTCAAGCGTACCAACATCAGAATTATAGGGGTGCCAGAAGATGAGAGAGAGCAAGATATTGAAAACCTATTTGAAGAAATAATGACAGAAAACTTCCCCCACCTGGTGAAAGAAATGGACTTACAGGTCCAAGAAGCGCGGAGAACCCCAAACAAAAGGAATCCAAAGAGGACCACACCAAGACACATCATAATTAAAATGCCAAGAGCAAAAGATAAAGAGAGAATCTTAAAAACAGCAAGAGAAAGAAACTCAGTTACCTACAAGGGAATACCCATACGACTGTCAGCTGATTTCTCAACAGAAACTTTGCAGGCCAGAAGGGAGTGGCAAGAAATATTCAAAGTGATGAATACCAAGAACCTACAACCAAGATTACTTTATCCAGCAAAGCTATCATTCAGAATTGAAGGTCAGATAAAGAGCTTCACAGATAAGGAAAAGCTAAAGGAGTTCATCACCACCAAACCAGGATTATATGAAATGCTGAAAGGTATCCTTTAAGAAGAGGAAGAGGAAGAAAAAGGTAAAGATACAAATTATGAACAACAAATATGCATCTATCA